TCAACTCCCAGTACAAATATCATGTGGGTGGGATAGGTGAAACACCCACACCTGCCTCCACCCTCTTTTGCCCCACTCTGTGCCCTTGAGCAAGGCCCTTAACTCAATCATCTGCTCCCCCAGGCGTCCTAGATAGCAGCTCTCTGCTCCGCACAGAGGACTGTGGTAGCTCGGTGGTCTGTGGTTGCATCAGGAAGGGCATCCGGTGTAAAAACAATTGCCATGTTTTTATGCGACTTAGTTCACTGTGGCAATCCCTAAAGGAGGGAGCAGCCAGGAAAAAAAATGTTCTGTGCTAATTATAAAAATTAGTTCTAGTCATATAAAGTATAATATAAGGCATTTAGATGTACTTTACATAATATCTATGGTCTTTGATTTGTTTATTTTTTGACAGAAAAACAACCTCTGCTGAAAAGTTAGTGCAGCCTTAGAAATATTTCTTTAGAATTGCATTTAACTGCTGTTTTGTTTTTGCAAATAAGGACAAAATAAAACTATTTAAATAACATTCTCATTGCAAAATAAAACCTGTCCATCAATGTTTCCTTTCAAATTTGCATATTCAAACATTAATATTCTGTTCTTTGGGCTAACCCACTGACAAACTGTACAAGCTGAATATTCACTCTGCCCCTCTATGCATCTTAATATATAGTTGTTTTATTTGTTATTGTCTCTGTTCAGGCACTGCGATTCATTTAGACAAGAAAAGTGGCATTTAAATACTACTACTAATAATAAATATGTTGTAGGGTTTTATCCCTTGTGACCCTTGTGGAGCAAAAGGATCGTCATAATGTAAAACAAGAAGCACTATAAGCAACGTAATGTGGATAATGAACAGAAATTCAATATTTTGGACCTCAACTCTTCTTTCAGCTGTTCTCTGTTCAGGGGTCACTACAGAGAGTCCTCCTCCCCCATCTCACTCTGTCCTTACATCCTCTGTCTATTCTGAAGTTCAAATGTTTTTTTTTTTCATTTCCTTTTTCTAAACATATCACTTTTTAAGTGTTATGACTCAAGTTAGAATAAAATACACAATCTAATTTTATCTTCCTAACATTGTTTAATGCATATTTTACGACATTAATAGCAGGTTTAACATTTAAAAGCAAATATTCTGAAGTCGAGGCAAAGTACGAAAAGCTACACTAAGAGGTTGTATGTATACTTTGTTGCTCTTTTAAATATAATGATTTGGTAAAAATAAGGACATGTCAGCTTAGAACATGGCCAGGATTTTGGTTCACAGATGCAAGATAATCTGAATATGCTACGTATTTGCTTAGACCATCTTTGAATTTATGTCAGATTACTTGTAACGGCTCTCTGGCCTACTTCTGTTTGGCAACTGCACAATCCGCATGTTAAACCTTCATTATGGCCTAAATGCATGACACCATTGCTAGAAAAAAAATATGAATTGTGATGGCTGGGGTTCCAGTTTTAGCAGTGTGCCATAAATGCGCCAGTAGTTTTCCTTTATGAGGAGACTGGGTGAAGAGTTCAAACAGAAATGATCATTCAGTTTAGGAAACTTGTAACAAGATATGCGTTTGAATGGAAGAAATAAGTGAACCATGAGCTTCCCTTTCTTACAGTTTAACCACATTTGGATCTTGTATTTTCACAGAAGGTGCACTCAGTTTCAAACAAACACACTCGCACTGCACTTCAGAGTCTCAGCTATTACCTGTGTCTCACACATTTTATACTTGCTCACTTGTTTGTTTCCCTTGTGACTTGTTATGTGAGGTACAGTGCATGTTGAACTGAAGACAGATTCCCCATGCTGGGGGGGGGGGGGGGGGGGGGGCACCACTCCCCTCTGTTGGAAAGTGTATATGCTTATGTAATAGCTGATAGTAAGGGTGGAGATCTTCAAATGGGATTTTGCAACACATTTTGTAGCACCGCTCCTCATCTAGCAGCTTCTCCCATAGCAACGACCCTAGCATATCCTGCTTCCATGACAACCCCTAGTGAATCTGGTTTGACCTTCACTAGTGATTCAGTGTCTCTCCATCCACCTCCATTCTTCCTCTGCAGCCCTTCTATCACTCTCTCTGTTCAGTATTGCAAACTTCCACTATTTTTTTTCTCCCTTCTGCTCAATAGCCCACATTTCGTTTCGCTGCTTCTTTTTTGTATCTCTCCACCTGTGTGGGCGTAGCATGGCTGCCGTTACACAAGCAGTCAATACATCCACAAGCTGATGTCATGCTTCAGGAGAGCCTGTTCATATGCACACAAGTCCAGCAGCTATGCATTCTTCTGACTCAGTGTTTTAAGCTAGCAGGCGTGTAGCTGCTTGTTTCAGAGCTGCAGGTGCAGATCAGCCTCAGCTTTCAACAAAGACACTATTGTTTCCAGTTTGCTGAGGAAACCAAGGATGTCCAAGCAAGCTGGGAAATATTGATACAGTAATGGCATGGGTTTTTTATTTTTTTTTTATTTTTTTTTTTACTCTCTGTGTGTGAGAGTGTGCTTGTTTCTGTGGGAGATGACTTTTTATCACAGGATATCAACCTGCTGTGTCACTCTTGGGCTCTGCAGATTTCAGGCTGACGGCTCTTACTCCAAGTCTCGCAGGTCGTGTCGTGCCTGCCAAATGTTTTCCTAGCAAAACATTGGCGTTATTATGCCTCTGTACTAATTGTTGGTTGAATTATCAGACGCTTAAATGCACTTGTTGGTTCCAGCCCAATTTTCTGATTATTGGTGTGCTGTGGTATTAAAATCACCATGGTAACCATTTGCATTTCCAAAGCACGATTTCAGTTTCTTTTTCTCATGCTTTGACATTGCACAATGCGCAGTAATTAAAAACTGATGACAGATGCGTATCTCTTACAGATTCTGTCTGTTCTTCACCTTTCTGAAACCTCTCCTACTGGTTCTCACGACATGCATCTGAGTTTTTGTCTCCAGCTTTGGATGGATACTCATTAGTTACTTGATCAAGCTAGCTGAAGTAGCCAACAAAATGACAGGGTTTTTAAGCTCGGAAGGCTGTGATCAGGGATGTGTAAGCTGCTTAACAGTCCTGCTGGGAAATGACAGGATGCTTCTTCTGCTCCTGTGAGACACGAGATAAGCTGAAAGGTTGCAACCCGAGCAAAGGCTTGGTTGTGTTGCATAAAGCAAGATGAGCCCATCAAGAGTAATAGTTGCGCTGAATGAAAGAGGTGATGCCATAAATATCCTTTTCACACAATTCTTTCTTTTGATCCCATCACTTGAAGGCTTCTGGTCATTAGCAACATAAAAACAGTTTAGTTTTCCTTCTTTGTCTGTGTTTAGTTTAAAGACACACAGATACAAGACCCTGCTCCTGCATCTGAAAAATCCTTGTTTGTAGTTCAGACATTTTTGTCTTTTAATTGTTGACATCAGCACGTTGCACATTTACATAGCACCTGCCAAGAGTCCTGTTGGCATGCTTCACACGAAGAATGAGCTGCTCACTCATTCAGCCATTTCTGACAATCAGCTGCATGAAACGAGTGGGATTAAACTTTACGCCTAATGAGGCAATTCTTTAAAGGATTTATAAAATGGAGAAACTAAGAGGAAAAGCAATAAGGTGCAAAAGTAGAGCAGCATGGGGTAGAAGTGTGTTTGAGTAATAAATCTTACTAGTTGTTCAACACAAAGTCCTGAACTTGAGCATTTTAGGCGTTTTTCTTAATAAACTGTTTTGCTTTTTATACTATAGAAGAAATAATTGCAAGTATATGTTGGAATTTTATTTTGGCAACTCCTTTGTCTACCAGTGTTTTTCCCGGTGCCTATTATGTGTTGCATTTTTCCTTCTTTATATGGTTTAAAGTACCAACCTTCTGCTTCTCAGCTTTCATTCGAGCCCACTCTGTCACAGTCTCTACATTGTTGCCAATTTTGTTGCTGCTTGCTGCCTGAGATGGAGACCACTCCAAAGCCTTTTTGGTGCAGAACAAAAGTTTGTACTGAAATCACTTCAGCACAAGTTCTGCTTTCATTTGCAAAGTGACTTAAGATTTTAGAAGCACTCTTCTGTGGATTAAAGCTCATAAAATGATACAGCAGGAAAGTGTGTGGACTGAGGCAGAAAATAAAATCTGACAATTAATGTCAGAGGCCTCTGATGCCTCCTAATTAAAACAAAAACAAACAAAAAAAAAAACGCTGGAGTGATAGTGATATATTTTAAATCACATTTTCAGCCATGTTTTAGTTTAACCATATAGACTGGCTGAAAGCAAAACAAGAAGCCACATCGCTGCACAATTTACAATTTTTCCAAGTGCGATAGAATTATTTACTTGCTTAAATTCACATCATTGGCCAACTTCTGAACTTTTCATACTCCTTCTGAACGCTGGTTGTGCACAATGTCTCAAAATGAAGCCAACGGGGCTTTGGACTTTCTGGTCAGAGAATTGTCCGTCATGTTTCTGTCTGTTTGGATTGCTCAGTCTTTCCACCAGGTCTCTACTTGTACGTGTCCTTCGCTCAATGTGCTTTTTGTGTTCCTTTTTCTTGACAATGCACTGCAAATTCAGAAGAGGGAGACTGTAGGTATTAAAACTAAAATACTAGCTGCATGACCACTCTTTGTCATTTTGGGTCGTACCTGATTTTTTTATATATATATATATATATTAGACTAATCTTTGACCTGTTAAGTTATAGTTGGTTATATCTCCATGAGTTTGCCCACATTTGAAAATCCTGCGTGTTCTGCCTTTTTTTTTTTTTTTTTTACTACATTATCTCCATTTTACTTTGTTACACTTATCATCTCATAAACACTTCCATCATGTTCCTCATTGTCCCAGATACAAAGTGCTTGTTGTATTTGCTTTTTAAGTTACTAGTTGGGCTTTTCTCAGGTTTTTTTTCCTCTCTTGCTTTCAATGTTTCATGTTTGTTTCTCTAGTTTTCTTCCTCCTTGCAGCTTTCTGCTTGTGTTATAGAGTATTCATGTGTTTTCTCCATGTCTCTCTGTGAAGGGGATGTGCTGTTCCAGATGGCTGAGGTCCACAGACAGATCCAAGTGCAGCTAGAGGAGATGGTTGGTATTCTAATCTTGAATGGTTCTTTGGGTGTGCGATTTAACAAAGATCTGTTATATTCAAGTTCTTTTCAAACAGAACAAGGTGCAATAACAGTGCCCAATTCAGTTCAATTATGTGGCTCTGCTTCACGATGTTCCTGGAACAGTTTGCTCAGTCGTGGCACCAGTTTCTCTAAGCTCCTCAGTTCAGGAAGATAAATGGCGTTTAAATGATTATAAACTGAATAAGCACACAAAGTGAGCTTATTTAAACACAAACGGAAGAACTGCAACTAAATTGTTTCTTTATAAGTTGAGCAAAACGAGTCTGCTAGGTTAGTCGAGCCACTTTTTATTTTATGAAATATTAAATATAGCAGAAAACTTGCAGATTGTATCGTCATGTGACTGTCAAACTCGAGCCACAGGCGAAATCTGGTCCCACAAGATGATAGTTAAATGTAAAATATTATATCTCTTCTAAATTTTCTTAAAAAAAACAACTGATAAATGCATCTAGTATAGACTTCTCTTGCCAGCTGGCTCAGTTTGAAGCCAGAAAAAAGGCTGGGTCATTCTATCAGTATTGATTCCGATGTGGAAAGAGTAACGGAACGTCAAGTGAGATGCATCAAATTCTTGTTCGTGAACCTGCGACCAAGAAAATATATTGGGTATCTGACTCGAGTTTATATATCAGCCGAAAGTGGCCCATGGCTCAGATAGTTTTTAAATTTGGGCTCCTTTTGGTAAGCGAGTTTGACACTCCTAGGTCGGGAACATGTTTTGCATGAATCTATACTGCGTCTGTTTCTGTCCACCATACATGTCTAAAATAAAATGTCAGGGATTTGATCAAAACAAAAGGAAAACAAATCATGTTCACGTGTTCAGTAAGTAGGTTAGCTGATGTTAGTGTAGTCTGCTCATTGTTACTCAGTGACAACATGAATTAATCTGATCTGTAAAATGAAACCTGGAAATGCTTTTGCAACATTGCTACAAGGACCTGTGCAAACATGAAGCGGGGGCCTCGTGCTAATAGAAGTCCACAGTTCATAGTAACATGGAAAAAGTTTAGTTTCAGCCAAAATGTAACTGAAATAGGTTTTAACAGCTAAAAATTCTGAACAGTCCCTTTTGATTTTAATTTAACTAACTGAAATACAAATGATTAACCTTAATAAAACATTTGTAATCCACTTTGTATGTAAAGTTGTTTTAAACTTTAAACGTGAATCCTCGTCTGATCATTGGTGTGAAGGTGAGCAAAAGTTTTAGCTTTGAGAATTTTCATTTTCTACTGTAAAGGTCCAGTTTTTTATGGGATTGTACTGTTCTCTTTGAGTCAAATCTTCTAAGGCTGTTCTTGTTACTTAACAAACGTAACGATGAAATTATAAAACAAATCCTAGATCTTTCTGCATTCATGTCCAAAGATTTGGATGAAGAAATGGACAGTCTCAAAGTTTAAAAAGTGAGAGTCTCTGTGCAGTTGGACACATCCCAGAACTCACGTAAAAGCTCTGGTGGGATTATATTCTCATCAATACACAACAATATATCACACAAATCCAGATCAAAATTTTAGCAGAAATTTCACTCAATTCAAAATGTGGCTAAATACAAAATATAATCAATAATTAATTAAATCTAATAACTGGATGAAAAGATTTTTTGAAAACTTGATTAAATTAAAAAAATTTTTTTATCAAGTTAGTACACTGAAAAAGTGTCAGCCGACCACATAATGATAAAAAAAAAATCTTCAGAAATATGTATATACAGTAGTCCCTCGCTACTTTGCGGTTCGACTTTAATGGACCCTTTCGTGGTTTTTCAAAATAAGATTGGACATGACACACATTTGGCTGATTGATGGATGAGCCACACAAGCGACATGGATTGTTTTATTTAAAATAAATTATTTTAAATGATTCAGCACCTGCTAAATCGTTAGGTGCAGGGAGAAGCTCCGTCCTGCAGCCTGTCATGATCTCTGCTCTCTGCCTCCTGCGGCTCTCTGCCACGCCCACATTTCTCCTCCGTGCTGCAGCAGCTTTGTGAAGGGTCCCCTAAACCCCGCAATAAACAAAGACTACTGTGTGTGTGTGTGTATATGTATGTATGTGTGTGTATATATATATATATAATTAGTTAAACAGTGATTCAAATACATATGTGATCTGCAAAGTTAAAGTTTCACAGGCTAGAAATTTGTTGTTAAAATGCTCAGCAAGTGAGCAATTGTTACTTAATGAGTAACACATTCTTTTGTTTTTCAGCTGAAGTCTTTTCACAATGAACTGCTCTCGGAGCTTGAGAAGAAGGTGGAGCTGGATGCTCGATATTTGACTGTGAGTATCTGAATCTGTCGCTCAGTCTCTGAAATCAGAGGATTACTGTATGCTGCAAAGCACACTGTTGAGCTTATGTTAATAAATGCATGTGATGTTGCATCAAATCATTTGAAGCAATGTGAAATAAAGTGATCTCAGACATGGCTGTGAAGCTGTGTTAAGTGTTGAGATCTGCTTTAAAATCAGTTTCTGCAGCATTTCACATCTAATAAACCATCAGGGGTAGACTGATTATAATAAGCCCCTTGTAGAGCGTGTGTAAGAGCTGCAGAGTGGGTCTACGTGTGATATCTTTAGAATGAGTGGGCTGCAGCCCAAGTGTACAGCACTTCTGCTGTGCGTTGTTTTGGGGGATGGGATAATGTTGACATTATTTTATTGTTTTGTTGAAAGAAAAAAAATTATAATAAAAGCTGCTGTAGCTCACAGCTACTCACACATTTAGTGTAATATTTTTATATTAAATTGAGAAAAGCATTTTCTGATTTAACATATGTACTGTATCAGTAAATTAGGATCAAGTTCAGATTAAATCGAACGTCCTGTAAACTCCAAGTAATCGACACATTAAATGCGTTTTTATTTTCTGAACAAGTATATTTAAACATAAAAACATCTACAGTTTCCAAAATATTTTTGTTCTTGATTTTGTATGACTGCATTTTTTTCTGATCCATCACAGCAACAATTGCAGTCACTTAGTTTCAGAACAAATTTTAGCACATGCTGAAAAAATATAGCAGATTAGTTTTTTGCTGAGTTGTCCTGGGTTAGGAGAATAATCTGCTACACGTTTCTGTCAAGATGGTACAGTGGCCATGAGGTGTAAATGAACAGCATTTGAAAAAACAGAATTACATTTAAAAAAACACAAGCAAAACAATGAAAACACATTTATAAAAAATAGAATTACATTTGAAAAAACAGAATTCCATTTGGAAAAAACGGAATTACATTAGAAAAAAAAAAAAGAATTGCATTAAGCCTAAGCGGAAGTGGCCGGAATTACATTTGGGAAAAACAAATTTACATTTGAAAAAAAAAAAAAAAATGGAATTACATTAAGCAAAACCAGAAGTGATGGGGTTTGTTTTTAGTGATTTTTTTAATTTTTTTTTTTTTTTTTTACTTTATTTATTAGTTACGTTTATTTATTTTTTTCAAATGTAATTCAGATTTTTCGAATGTGATTCCGACCACTTCCGCTTTGGCCACTTCCGCTTTGGCATAATGTAATTCCATCCATCCATCCATCCATTTTCTTTACCCGCTTATTCCATTTTGGGTCACGGGGGTCGCTGGTGCCCATGTCCAGCAATCACTGTGCGAGGGGCGGGGTACACCCTGGATGGGTCGCAAGTCCATCACAGGGCCACATAGAGACAAACAAACATTCACTCTCTCACTCACACCTAGGGACAATTTAGAGTTACCAATCAGCCTAACATGCATGTTTTTGGACTGTGGGAGGAAACCGGAGTACCCGGAGAAAACCCACGCATGCATGGAGAGAACATGCAAACTCCACCCAGAAAGGCCCCTGGACCGGGGTTTGAACCAGGGACCTGCTCGCTGAGAGGCAGCAGCTCTACCAGTTGCGCCACCATGCTATAATGTAATTCCATTTTTTCAAATGTAATTCCATTTTTTTTTCAAATGTGTTTCCAGTCTCTTCCACTTTAGCTTAATATAATTCCATTTTTTCAAATGTAATTCCTTTTTTCAAATGTAATTCAGTTTTTTCAAACATGATTTCGACCACTTCCGCTTTGGCCACTTCCACTTTGGCTTAATGTAATTCTGTTTTTTTTTTCAAATGTAATTCCATTTTTTCAAATGTGTTTCCAGTCACTTCCACTTTAGCTTAATATAATTCCATTTTTTCACATTCAATTCTGTTTTTTCAAATGTTGTTTTGTTGTCTTTTTTGAAATGTTGTTCATTTACACCTCCCGGCCACCGTAAGATGGTGCTCACAAGATTACAGAAAGTGTCAGGCATTGCACAGAGGTCAGAATGAGGGCTTAAACCCAAACTGACCTTTCTGATTCTAATAAGATTTAGGCAGCACACTTCTCATCTTGTTGGAGCAGACGGTGGTTCAGTTTCTTGGTATGAAGGTCAGAGTCCACAGACTTCAGTGTTTTGACTCCGAGGTTCAGTTGTTACAGAAGAAGGGGATTCAGACTATCCTCTTGTTTGCACACTTTGACCACAAAAACAAAGAACAAAGTTTTTATAAAATCCAACCGTCTTCCCTCTTCTGCTCAATGCAGGATTTTCTATAAGGGCAAGAGGTTTTTTTAACTAAAAACCTTAAGCAGAACTCACATTTCTAGCTTTACCATGCACTCACCTGTGGGGTCTGTGTGGTGTTAATGTCTTCACCTGTCCTCTAAAGGCCTTGTGTTGATGATCACATGCAGCCCTGACTCGTGTGACCTCACACTGAGCGCCGACAGAAACAATAAAACTCAGTCAAAAGGTGACATCAAATTCACAACGAGCAGAAAAACGAAAACAAGGTTGCTTAAATAATTTAAAGGCATAGCATTCCTCAAAGGAATGTAGATCACCTGCTGCCTTTCGTGCTTGTGTTTTAGACCAATTTCAAATGGTATGCATTCCGGATGCACGATATTGGATTTTTGGCCGATATGTTAAAAATGATTTGGCCGGTAACCGATACCAGTACCAATATTTTTTGTATACTTCCCTTTGTCAGAACATAGCCCTCTTATTTAAGCTTATTTGCTACAAAAATGTACAAAAACAGCTGTAAGAGCTGGTGACATATATTCATTAACAGTCATATGCACGGCACTTTAGCTTGTATTAAATGCAAAGTATTACATTTTATTTATTAGTATTAGTCACCTGCGATGCTGTCTCATTTGTGGAGGCTTGTTCCGGGTTCCTAGCCGCAGTGTGGGATCCTCTGCATTTATGTGCATGAAGGACAACCTTTTTAAGTTCAATTTTTTTTTGTCTATCCTTTGTGCCATAAGACAATGGGGCTAACACGACGTCCAAATGTCTGTGGAAAAACTCACCAAGCGCTATCGACTGTTAGCTTCTCGAAGACGTAGGAAACAACGGCTTGTAATTCGGGTAAGGCTACGTCAGAAAAATATCTCCGACTGTGGACGATGTAGCAAGGATAGTCCAAGAATCTTCAGAATTCAATATCCTCAATGGAAAAAAAACTTGCACACCGCCGACATTTTGATTTCTTCCTCTCCGTTGTGATCAGATCAGGTAGGCGCGCGTGACGTCATCACGTTGGGCTGCAGACATCCTTGTCACTACAAAAACAGCGTCTTTTATATCAGTGAGCTATTTTGATTGAATGATATTTAACTTTAATGCCAATATCGACCGATACCGATACCATGCCGATAATATCGTGCATCCCTAGTATGCACCACCTTATGCAATATCATCAGATGCAGAGGATATGTTGTGAATGCCTCAGCTTTTACTTCATCAACATTTATTTATCTATATGTATTTATTTGTGTAAACTTTTCATTCATTCAACCTTTATTTATACAAGCTAGTCTCACTGATCCACGAGGACTCATTTACAAGAGAGACCTGTTCCGGACAGAACATATAAAGTACAGACAACAATAACAATAATAATATACTACAGTAAAAATGCAGTTAAAATAAAAGTAGTGTTATAAAACAATAAATCATGGTGCCACAAAAGAAGGTAAAATACTAAACTTGACTGGGTTATATTCATTTAAGTGTTGTTTAATGTTGATTTGCTGTGGAAGCCAATTAATTGGATCGACTCCAAATGGTTTGAACCTTTTTGGCTATGGCTGCCTCAGAGGAGTTGATGGGGGGAGAGGGCGGACTCCAGAAATCATCTTATCACCATAAAACTGGTTGATCCACTATGCGAGTGTAACACTTATGGGACTGAGTTTGTTGTGGCTCCTCAGACTGATGAAGTCCTTTGGATGAAGGGTGAAACATTTCAATGCAAAAAACCATGAAAACCAGAGGACCTGACTTAACTTTGTTGGAATTTTTACTTGGATTATTGAGCATGAACTTTGTTGATTGACTCCAAATGTTAATCATTTGTAGATACGGTGTTCATCCAACTTCTCTGAAAGTTTCATTAAAATTCACAATTATGTTGAAGCCTTTCTTTCCTGTCAGTTGAAATTCAGCTGCAATAATGGAGCAACAACCAATGTTAGTTTATCGTTTTATCTCAGGGTATGAGGAAATTGAAAGAATGAGTCATTCGCTGCTATTTTCATTGAGTCACAAAGCTGATAAAGGTGTGAACGCTTGATTTGGTTCGTTTTAGACGCATATTTCAAGAAGGCAGCTAACTGAAATATACTAATTAGTAGGCAAACATAAAATGCCCTTGTTGGAAAAATTACTGCTTGTGAACTTTTTTCAATTTAGTTCTTTTTTGTCCATCTCAGACCTGCAGACCAGAACACCCATCTCTGCTGTAAAATCCCAACACATCGTCTGTGATGCTGAAAGTCTCTCGATGGCAGCAGCAGCTTATTTTCTGCTGCTTTTTCAGAATGCCCTGAGAATACCTGCTTATGTTCTCATTTTCATGCAGTATGCAAATGTGGGTTTTGAACCCCGTTCATAAGCACTTCTCTTCCAATTTTGCCTCGCACAGAGACCATATGAGCTTTCTCGCACCAGACACGGTTACCATAGCAACAGAGCTGCTAAAGCCAAGGAAACAAAGTTGTTTCCTTTCCTGATAAATAAATAATAAAGCAAATTAAATTAATAAAATGAAAGGATTGTGCTATTTAATTAAGATTTGTCACAAATTTCATGTTTATTTTAGTCTCCTTTGGACGGCTACGACTGATTTCTGATTGCTCACTTTGGGATGAAAATCATCTGAAGCTACATCAAGTAGCCTCGTCAGTAGCAGCGGATGTTTGAAGAGACGGTCTCGCAAGCAGTGTTGACAAAACAAACCTAAAAATTTTTTTAACCAATCTGGATTTTGTTTAGATTAATATAAATATAAACATTTCAATAATTTAAGAAGGTATTTTGAGGGTCGTCTAAGGTACAATAACGGAGGCAAAGTGCTTCTTGATCAAGTGCTGATGTGCAATAATCCTCCACACTATTAAAACCACCTTTTTAATATCAATCAGCTCTGCTTCATCAGGGCAGCAACACAAACTTTTCTGTGTTAGATTTTTGGTCAGTGTTAAAGTAGCATCCGATTGTCTTGCACCAGAACTTTGTAACAAAATGTATAACATCGACGTTGTTTTTGAATAAATATCCCAACATTTCAGAAAGTATATATATTCACTCTGTAAGGATTTAGGTTTAATCTATAAGTTGTTTATGAGCTGGGATTTGACTGACAACTTTTATAAGTTAAAATTTACTCACCTTTCTTCAATGCAAACTTTCAACTGTGGTCCTTTTTAAAATGTTTTTTTATTTATTGGGGACTGCCGTTGCAATACATGGAAGGCACTATTATTCTAAGTGTTTATTTATTTTTGTTCCGTCACTGTTAATGTGGTCCAAACCACAATGTGTACCCCCACAAAAGTTATATCAAAGTGACCAGCTCAATCTCTAGATGAGGGCTATTACTTTTATTGGCAATCGTAGTTACCATGGTGACGCATTTTATTTTGTAACACTCCTCACACTACTGCTGTCAAGTCACATGACTTGCAATGTAGATGTCCCTGAAGAAAACAAACTCGCTGTTGGATATGTTTTAAACTCACAGAAAGTAATCATCAGATAAATGTCTAGAACTGATTGTTTGGTGCCATTTCGATTCAAGATGGCTGCCACCGTTACCTCAGCAAACACAAAATTGACTAACTCAATCATTCTTCAATATATTGAGCTGATATTTAGTTTGGTTGTAGCTGAGAGCGACTTGTTATACATTCCTAATGTAAATCAAATATCCAAGATGGCCACCTTAGCTAAAAGAGAAAAATACTACAACTCGGTCATTTTCAGAGCGATTCGGCTGAAATTTGGTATAGTAGTAGCTGAGAGCGAACCCCAACACATATTAATTTGTCAAATCAACAATTTTAAATCGGCCTGGCAGTCCCCGTCAAAGTTTCTTCAGGAACTTTCTAGTTTATATTTTACTCCTTATTTTTGCACACAGGCTGCCTTGAAGAAATACCAAATGGAAAACAAGAACAAAGGGGAGAGCCTAGAAAAGTGCCAGGGGGAACTAAAGAAGCTGCGAAGGAAGAGCCAAGGCAGCAAAAACCCTTCAAAGTATGGAGACAAGGAGATGCAGGTGAGCCTCATGCTGAGTTTTTTTCTTAGAGAATGAAATTACTGTTTACTTATTCTCCTTCATTCACTTACACCAGCAATTCGTGCCATATCTAATTCACAGTAGATTTAGAAGTTAAGAATTAGAAATATTCTGTGTGGAACTAGAAAAACTCGAGTAGCACTTCAATAAATGTACTCTGTTGTTATATTGTTGCTCTGCTTGTGTCCATAGTCCCAGGTTTTGTAGAGTTTGCAATTTTTTTGTAGATGATTGGATGCGAGTCTTGGTGGGGGGAAAACAAAGATCTGACTTTTGTTCTGAAGCTAAAAGCACAGAAGCAAGATGGTGGAGGCAGAGGTGGCAAGGTGTCCTTAGTGGGAAAGCAAATTATGGCGCTTTGGTTATGAATTGTGCGCCCTCAACAATCCTTATTACATTTACACAGCTTCCACACAAACACACTGTACATAAAACAAATCGTAAGTGCTGAAGGTGCATTTTCAGTGTAGGTATACATAAAACTGTTAACTCAGTTACCCAAAGTGGTAAATTTGAAGCGACACTAATCTGCTTCAGACAGATGTATAAAATCTCTCCGTATCTGACTTATTTAAAAAAAAAAACGTGTTGCTGTTTAAAAGGGAAACTAAAAAGATCTTGCATAAAGGCAACCAGTAAGTAAAGTAAGCGGCCAGTAACTCAAATTGCTAACAAATTTTCAAGATGTCTGAATTTTACACTGAAAGACAAATGTACATAAGAAATCAAGTGTTCTGTGCTATGATGAGGGATCATTTATATAACAAACCAACCGATGACAAGCCCTTCAGGTGAAACAAACCCTTCGTAATGAGCCTCCACCGAACATTACTGGCTTTGTCACATTTAGTTTTCATCACATGACCACCTACCTGATTGGGGAAATTGGGTATCTGCATTGTCTCACACTCTTGAGGCTTCACTTTTGTTACTTTTGTTTAACTTGTTTGTTCTTATTACCAAGTCTTGTTACTGAAGTGAAAAAGAAAATGGGAGAAAATGTCAATCAAGCTTACAGGAAGCTGGAATTGGGACTGCAAAACTAACAGGTCAAGGCTTGCAGGGTTATTGCTGTGCTGCTGTCTGCTCTCTGTGAAGTGCATTCAGCAGTGTCAGGTAGACCAAAATGTCAGGTACAAACCAACAAAAAAAAGGGAAAAACAAACAACTGGACTTCTATTCTGAAGCTGAAAACTTCTTTAGCTTTAGAATAGAAGTCTAGTTTTTTTTTGTTTTTGTTTTTTTTACCGTTTACTGGATTGATAATGACGTAAATGACTGAGAAGCTTCACCACAATGTCAGGATACAAACTTTTCTCGAGTTTTCTCATTATAGACGGGTTCTTTGGTGCTCAGTTTCCACATCAAGGAGCACCTACTCTGTCCACTCAGTTTACATGCTGTCAAGCACACAAACCCAAAGACACACACACGCATCTACCTCCTCCTGTCTGCCGTGGTATGGCAGCGTGGATTGATCTGACTGCTGCGTCACATCAAGTTCGTTCCATTGTGTCAGAAATGTCTTGACGAGTTTCTGTATTAAGTGTCATCATAAGGCGTCCAGTTGGGCGCTGTGCTCAGGAGTCCGGTCGAGCATAAAGCAAATCTTGAATGGAAGCTCAGACTGTAGATCTCGCATCGGTAAATCAGTTCAAAGGAGTGAGTTGATGCTTACCTGTGATTTTTACCTGACTGATAGGCAATGATGAGTGCAATTGTTGCAACTGTGACGTCAATAACGCCTCAATCACTATATTTGGAGGAAAAATGGGACTAAAAGAAATCTGAGCAGAAAAAAAAGATCATTTTAGTTTCTGTTGTTAAACTATTCCCCAGGAACCGTTTGTAAAAGCTTAACCATTGCTTGCTCAAAGAAAACATCCATGTAAATGATTAATTTCACAAAATTCAAAGTTGGTTCAGGTTGTAGCCGAGATCCTTGTAGAGTTGAAAACCAACTGGAGGCATTTTTTACATCCTGAAGTACTGGGATGTTTGTGTTACCTGTACTCGTGATTTGTTTTATTTGGAGTCATGCAGATGTGTTAGTGATGTTCCTTCATATTAAAGAGTTTCAGGAGACCGTCGCAAGATTTGTCTAAGCACAAGATTTTCCACTTGCTATCCTACCATTGGTGCAAGTCCATATAGTTGGCATTTCTTTGCCAGTTCTTGGCTGAAGAGACTTCATTTTAATAGACACGTTTAACATCATTTCGAACATACATTAAAGTTGCCTCACACTCTTGCTGAGCGTGTATGACTGATCAGTTGGACCCATCTGTGCAGAGCTGTGGATTCATAATTTACAGTCTGTTAGCAGGAAAAAGAAAAAATCAATCTCCCTTTCTCATTTTCAGCCTGCTCACTTTCACTGATCATATCACGGCTGTGGGCGTGTGAGAGAAAACGTCAACTCGTGTGTGCCTGAGCCCACAGCTCCACAAAGACTGAGCGAGAGCCCTGCACTCCCACGAGACCTGTGCTTCACAATGACAGTCGTCCACCTAGAGAAGGAGCTCGGATTGTAACGGGCTGTGCAGTTTTATCGTGTGCACAAAGAGATGGTCTCTTTCAGGCAGTCAAAGCTGCAGAGACGAGGGCAGCGTTCTCATCCTCAGCACATTTGTTCGACTTCAAAAGATGAGAACTTTTAACTTTTTTTTTTCATTAAAAGTAGAAGTCTGAGTGCAGTCTGGCTTCATAGAAAGACTGAATCTGATTGAACCTTGCCTCTCATCATCTACGTGTTTGCCTTTTCTTCCTTCCCTGCTCTCCTCTGCCTTGAGACACTTCCACATGAATGGATGAAGTCTGCAGAAATGCTAATCATTGTATTATGTAGTTCAATGAAGGGTACCAAGGTACTATAGAAAGGGGTCTCATCAAGATAAACTCTTTTGTATTGCAAAGGATGTTAATAAGAGCTCAGGCAAAGTAAAACTCCATAAGAATTAATGCTGCAAGATGTTTAATTAGCTTATTTTCTTCAGCCTGGTGTCATAAAATTGATAAAGATCTTTCAATCTGCGTTTCACACCACGATTCAGATTTGGAGGGGGAAAGAAAAGCACACCTAACACATAGTTGTTGCTTTCAGTTGTGTTATGATTTTTAAATCAAAGAGTGGCATTGATGAAGAAACAGCAGACCCAAGCAGCTTGGATTCATGAAGAGAGAGGCTTTAACATCTCAAGAGGAAACTACGGCAAGCCAGTTAATCATGGAATACTTAGGCAGACTTTTAAAAATACTTCTCAGTCAGAATGAACATTTCAGCAATCCCAAGTACTGTTTTTGTGTCCGTTAACACTGGAATTATTTTGCATATCATCGTTCAGTAAAATAAAAATCCCTCCGTGTATATCAGCTCCAGATACCCACAAATAAATGGTTATCTGGAATAAATACCACAGATATCTGAAATCGACTTGGATTAGAAAAAAAACACACATTTTAGTTTCCTACAGTCTCCCTCTTACTTCTTTTCAATAATGAACATAACAAAAACTATTCCAAATATTTCTAGGTAAAATTTGAAAATGAAAACTTGTAAAAGTGCCATTAGGAACGTCTAATTCATTAAAGCTAAGTAAAAAGTAAAAAAAAAAGAAGAGTGCTTACAGATATTGGAAGTGGAAAAGCCACTTGAAAAGAAAAATGTAATTTGTCCTAGAAACGCGTTTGAGACATCGTAGGTGGTAATAGTGGATCAAATGAAAGATATTCTGTAGCTAAAGTGTTCATTTTGACCACAAAAATTGAAATATAGTAATATGTCACATTTTTAGTCATTACAATTTAAACTTAAGGATTTTTAGATATGTTAAACTTTTTTTTTTTATTACAGTCTCAATTTTGGAGGCTTTATTTTCTTGGAGGAATTTCATTTTCTTCTACTTTTGCCTAGTAAGGTTGCCATTTTGACTAGGATGAATGCTCTGAGTAATTACAGATAGGAATGTGATATTTGTTACAGGCGCCTGTGCAGTAAAACGGCATCATATAAACATGTTTTTGTCTTGAACTTTTTGAATTCATCATGTAAACAGTTTTGCTGCTGTGAACCCTGGTGTGTTCTTCACTTTTCAAATGGTGCGAGAGCTTCCCAGCTCGATGCTTGTAATTACTGTAAAAAGTGTTGGGTGTGCAGTGTAAAAGAAGTGCTGCCATGTTAGGATTTTGTCCTGAATATGTCAGTGTATAGAGACACGCAGAGAGGCGGTAATGCTGAGCAGTCAAAGCCTGAAGATAGGAACTGCACTGACATGTAGTAGGCTTCATTTATATCTATAACCTTTGCAAAACAAGTCATTCTAGCTAAGATGTAACCTGAGGTCTGCTAGAGATAATGGTGGCTTGTGTCTGCATGAGCTTTTCCCACTGCACTTATTGTCTTGGGTTACTTTGGTGACCTTTTGAATGGTGGGAGAATGAGGCTACGTTGGTTTGACAAAGGGCGAGCATAGACTGTCTGAGTCGTTCCTATTAGCTCAGGTTAGAGGTGTTACAGAGGCTAGCAGACTTTTGAGTCAGAGACGACAAATACAAAAAGGGTCACTCCACCCGAGAGACGGAGGGCAGTCGCTTCGGTTGTGATCTTTTAAAGTGTCTTTGCACTGTACGGCTCCTTTGATGTGCCCAAAGATTCATTCACAAACGCTATAGGTAAGGTGTCCAGCTGTGTGTTTGCCAGACAGTTCTTCAGCATGATTTGTTTCTCTCTTCCTTTTTCCCCTCCTCATCGTTATTCTCACCGCAGTATAGAGTATGACTCATACCAAAACAAAATCACTATCTTTATCTTTTTCATAGGAAAGATAAAGATAGTGATGACAGTCGTCTTGTGCAGCTTTTAAAGCTGCTGTCATATAAGTCCACGTTTCTGAGAGGAGGCTCATGCGTTTAACTTAGCACTTTAGCTAGTTGCTTTTTTTGTTCATAAAAAGTTTTAATATCTTATAATTTCAGTGTTTCATATAAAAATACAGTAAAGAAATTACATAAATATACATTAAAAGATGACATAGACATTGATTTAAAACAACAAAAATGATGAACTAAAAAAACATACCAGTCTAAAGACATACGTTAGGATTGAATATATAACAAAAAAGGTAATTCCAAAGACAATAGACTTAAATCCAGGAAGTGAAGAAAATCCAGCCTCATTTGTCTTTTCAACAAACACTTCTTGGTGTCAGATGGGAAGTAGTGTTCTCTGCTGGTTACTAAATAAAATACACTCAAGCCGTGTGATGACACAAGACGAACTAGAATAGGTGCAGTGAGAAACCCAAACCTTATAGGTTTCATCAGTCTTACTGTGATGCAATGGAAAACTTGTTTTAATCTAACTTTAACACTTTTAAAACTCTAAACTTAAGGAGCTATTGATTACACTGCTGCACCAAGAGAAATGCGTTGTTACATTTATCAACCCACAAGAACTGATTTAGGAAAATATCAGATTCTACAAATTAGTTTGACATTTCTGTAGAGCCTTATGCCAATATTGATGTTTACATTTTCATTCAAAAAATTAGAACAAAAAATGCTCAGTTACTGCAGCGATAAAACTAATGCATAATGAATGCGTGTTTACTGGAATTATAAGTCATGTCACTAATAACTTTGAACATGACAGAACACCGGATACGTTTTTATTTTATTCGTTAAGATTTAATCCATCAAAGTAAATAAAATGTGCATCTATATCCATGTTTTTAATACGTTTTAAATCCATCAACCAAAAATCAGGCGAGCTACGTTTCGCTAAAGCTCTGACCTGTCGGTAAACTGTTATCTACAGTCGAGTCCAAAGCATTTGGACCCCTAAACTGTGTCCCTGTTCTCTTTATTTATTTTATTTTTTCATTGTTATCGCATCTTGTCTAACTCATTCTGAAAATTTTCAGATTATATCAAAAGGAGTGTTACAAATAAGATTTATTAAAGTTAGTCTTCCTTCCCCCAAAATGTAGATTTTTCACGTCATCTGTATGTTTGATCTTCACCGTCTTCTTCAAACTGCTTAATATAAGAACCTGACCTGCTGTTGCTGCTGTTAATCTCAAAATCTGGATTATATGCTAAAGATTGTGTCTCTATATGATAACGAACTAAACATTTGAGTTCAGTTGAAGACCATCACATGCACAGGCACTTTGTGTGTTGTTTTTCCCACATGATTACGCGTGTATTTGATCATGCCACTTTAAATGAGCAGATCTATAGGTACATTGCTGGTCTGCGCTAACAATTTACTGTTGGTGACAGTGGGAACATTTAATCTTTGTTGCCCCAAAATGTGCACGATCTTGGCTGTAAAATCCTTTTTTTTTTTTGGGCTTGTGTTACTGTTTTTGCATCGTCGTTGGATTTTGTAAAAATTCCACAGAATTAGGAGCTGCCAAAAGCAACTGCTAACGTATGAGCCGAGATATTTTCATATGAAAACATTTATTAATCCAGCCATTGTTTATTTTACTATCAAACATGCAAAATCAAGTCAAATCAAAAATTGTATATTCCTTAAAGGCATGCACTTGCAGGCCAGAGTTTTAAACAAAGATTTTGTGCAATCTGTTTAATAATCAAATGTTCATTCAAAACAGCCCAAACTGACCAAAGTGCTGCACAGTAAACCCATAAATCGACAATTAAAAGTACTTTTATGATCTAATAAAATAAAATAAACAGAAGACACTGTAACTTAAAGTAATGTAAGGTAATTAGTGTCATTGTTGTAATTTTTTTCTCACAGTACAAGCTCTTTATTTCATAATTGAATGTATTAGACGGCAGTTAAACAAAGAAAGTTCAATTTAGGCTCTCTGGCTGCACAACAAAGATGTCCTCTGTGCACTTCTTCTTTAGTTGTTTCAGTAGAGCTGTGAAGTGACTGACAGCATAAGACTGTTTATCTGAACGTCTCCTGATTCAGAAGTGTGCATCCACATGGATGTAAGAATTACTTAGTCTTTAACTGTTTGCTTTAATTGACTTTTTAATTTAAAGCTTTTGGCGTTTGGCTTGATTGTCAGGAGGAAAAATGAGCTTTTGGTGGAAGTATTTTCTGTCTTTTTAAACCTGCAGTGCATCAATAACTAATATGGCTTAAACTGAAAGATCTGGTCAATCTATAAGATCAATAATTGGGTGTCTGGGGAAAAAAAGTCTTTATCTACAAACTGTGGCAGATAGTAGATAGGATTATTTTGCACAAGTTTAGATTTATTTATTTTTTTAACTAGAATTTAAGTCTATTTTTATTTACAAGCACAATTAAAAAATGTTACAAAAACCATTGCATAGCTATAAGAGAAAAGGCGACACACGGAGTCATTTATTAATGTGTACTAATGTGTGTGTTGTGTTTTTCCTTCAGTTTGTGGAGACGATCAGCAACAAGCAGACAGAATTAGAGACATTCATTGCTGAGGGATACAAGCAGGCGCTGTCAGAGGAGCGTCGCAGATACTGCTTCCTGGTGGATCGACAATGTGCTGTCGCCAAAAACAGCAGCGCCTACCATGGGAAGGTAAGTTACGGTGCCGCATCATCATAAATGTTTGTTATATTGTTCATTTATTAGCCGAGTCTAACCTTTGTAAGTAGATATCTTACTTTTATTAGCGGTGGAATTATTTATACTCATACTAGGAAGCTTAATGTACCTGATGTACTATTTAAAGTTATGCATAAACTTTGTTTTTAAGCATAATATGCAAAGACACATGGTTATTTAGCATATTATACTTAAAAACAAATTGTCTTTGTATTATGCTTCCTGCGGCTGTCATCTTCATTTTATTTGAAATGTCAACTGTAGAGCATTATTCTAGAAAAAACACTAAACGTTCATAATTTTTCATTCATTCAACATTTATTTACACAGGTTAATCCCATTGAGCCTCGGGGACTCATTTAGAGTCAGAGATTTATTTGTCATTTGCATCTCATGTGGTACTTTGTAAAAGAAAAAACAGCAGCACAAACATGAGTCTGTGTGAGCAGATGAGTACGCATGAACACATCAACATGAAACAGATCAGCAGCAACATGATGGGATTCTTCAGTGATTATTCTGGTTAGAGATTCATGAGCCCAACAGCCTCAGGGTAGAAGCTGTTCCTCAGTCTAGTGGTTCCACACTTAATGCTCCTTAACCTCCTTCCTGAGGGGAGCGGGGCAAAAAGTGTGTGTGCTGGGTGAGTGGGGTCCTTCATGATGCAGATGGCTCTCTTCCTGCATCTGGAGGTGTAAATGTCTGTGATGGTGGGGAGACCAACTCCCAACAGTCTTCTGTGCAGCCTTCACCACTCTCTGCAAAGCTTTTCTTTCTGCAGCTGTGCAGCCTCCATGCCACACGTTGATTTACAACAGAGACCTGAAATAATAAGAAATAAAAATAATAATAATACAATGTATCCCAGTCGGATCATTAGCTGCAAACTGCTCTGGTCTTGTCACGGTGAAATGAACCCAAATCATCAAACTCCACCACAATACTCGACAGCTGCTTTAAGGAGGTTTTAGCTGATGTGCTTTGACTTTCTTTTCGGTACCACTTTACAATAATGCTCCCCTTTATAGATGGCTAATAAATAGTTTATAAATGCATTATTAATTCTTCTATAAACACTTTATAAATTATTGTTTATTATGCATTAATTAAGGGTGACAGAGAAACAAAACTGACCAGTTTCTCGCCAAACAGTGAACCAAATCTGCCACATACATATTTCATCTATAGGGTTGTTATATTTAACATTTCAGACTGTTACTACCCTGTAAGCACAATAAGCATTTGTAAACTTACTTTTTTTTTAGGATATATTAGTTAGATACTTATAATGTAGTGATAAAGTACAATATAATATACTAAATAAATAAGTTTACAAATGCTTATTGTGCTTACTAACTTGGTCTGATATGTTAAATATAACGACTCTAGATGAACGATATAGGTGAACAGATTTGGCTCACAAGAAACTGGTCAGTTTTGTCTCGCATAATAAGCAGTTATTATTAATGATTTAAAAAGTGTTTATAGAGGAATTAATAATGTATCTATAAACTATTTTAGACATCTATAAGAGGAGCTTTATTGTAAAGTGGTACCTTTTTTTTTTCAAATGTAGCTTTGGGCATTCCGGCTGAACAACTTTAAATTTGGTCTCGTCTGTCTACAGAACCTTGTGCTACAGAACTTGTGGTTTGTTTAAAGGCAGCTCGCACGTTATTTTGATAGAAAACGGTCTTTCTTCTTGGAATCCCATCAACATGAATAAACATGTTTAGACCATTTTTAACTGTAGCATCACAAGCTTTACTGTTCAACATGAACAGTCCATAGAGTGAAATATGATAATTGTTGGTTTTTTTGTGTGTGTGTTTGGAAATTCCTTATCGTTTGACCTCAGACTGAACTTAATGTGACTTTCTTAGAAAATATCTCTGTTTATATTTGTGAATTATATTTCTCACAGTTGAATGATGAACTCCAAATTGATTATAGATAGACAGATTGGCAGAAACAACTATTATTGTAAAATCAAAGTCAATGTTGTCTTTGTTTCCTTTATGTTGTGTCAGCACTCTCCTGATTTAGTCTTTTCTATCTGGAGTACCTGAAAGCCTCAGATCATCAAATTGGCAAATATTTCAAGAAGTTTTCCTCTTCTGCAGCTCAGGACACTGTATTTATTTTATATTTATTTTTCAAGTGTCATTTTCTGTTTTCTCATATTGTTCAAATGGCGAATGGATGTGACTTCTGTTCCTTTTAAGCAAAGTTTAAATTTCATCACATATCTGCATTTCACTTTTTAAACTTGTATATAGAAGCATTAGCTTTATGTTTAACACATTATATGTTTTTGCTTCTTTTTTTATAACTCAATGTAATGTCCTTTATTTTTAAATTTTATTGAAATGATCTGTTTATTTTAATTCAATTCAGTTTATTTATATGGCGCCAAATCACAACAAAGTTGTCTCAGGGCACTGAACGGAAACATTCACATACATAAAAAAGCCAATTAGTAAAGTTTTCTATCTAAGGAAGGATTTTAAGACCTGGTGAGAACCTTGTGATTTTACTTTAGTCAAAGTACTGTATTTTTGTAGACGTTGAACAGCCTACAGACTTAAAACCATAATCCATCAAACATCTTTTGAGCATTTTGTTACCTTTTTGTGCAATATACTGTTTCACTCTTTCAGTGAAACCCTGATATAAGAAGGCACAACGATGCTGACTTTATTGTTAAATAATTGAAATAAAGCCTGGCTGAAACAAATGAGCATGGCTCTAAACTCCTCTGCATCTATGTTGTTTACAGAAGGAGTTACCGTACTTGCCGCCGTACATGTCGCACCGCCGTATAAGTCGCATCTGTCCAAATATGTCTAATAAAGTGGAAATAAAAACATAAATACGTCGCTGCGCCAGATAAGTCACATCTGTTGTGCATCACCGCTGACGCTTTGTCTTCGTTATGCGTCACTACTGACCACCCGGAAACGTGGGCCGGTGTTGTGCCAAAAATCGTTTTGCTGCCAAATGGCGGCCGCGGGAGTGTGCACTGGAGGACTTTAACAAGATTAACACTTAAAAACAATTGTTTGTTTACTCGAACGTATAGCAAAGTTGTGTCTCAGTTGAACTTTTCCTTAATAAATGCACTTTAATGGTCAAATCAGCTGCATTTTGCCTGGGCGGTGCGACAAAATGTAGCTGATTTGATGTTTGCTCCAGGAGTTCTGGAGCGAGACAAAGGTGGCCTGTATGGCAAGCCAAGTGTCTCATTAATAGCCACTTTTGCCTATTAGACACTTGGCTTGCCATATTGTCCAAGTGCCCTCTAGTGGCTGACAATGGTAGTGTTCAATATTTTCTAAGTCAGAATAAATGAAATCGTCAGATCTCAGCCAAAAATTGGATTATAAATATGTGGAGGTGGCACGTATATTAGTCGCTTTGGTGTATAAGTTTCAGGACTTGATAATTTATGCAAAAGGTGTGACTTATACAGCAAAAAATACAGTACTTGTTTGGTTTCCATTGTCATGTAAAAGAAAAATAAATAAGAACAAAAAAGAGCATCAGATTCATGGGTAATGGAGTGCATCAGTCAAATGGGATTATTGGTGGGAAGAGCCTGGAGGTGGCAGCATGAGGATGGGATGCGTGTTCACTGAGCTGCAGTAGTTTTTTATTTATTTATTTTCTTGGACATGTCTGGTCATTAATCAGTATGGGGGTGTGCGTGGGAAGTTTTCACCTTCACCAAACTAAAGAACCCACTCCCAGAAGGTTTCTAATGTGCAGATATCTGTATTACAATGAGGGGAAAACAAAGATTTGAGGCTCAGTGAAAGAACATTTCACAGTTTGTGTGTATATAAAACATATGAACAGATATTTTTGTTCAAGAACAAGTTTCAACAACTGAGGAGTCTTGTCCACAGGCTGTGGATTGCAGCTGTGGGCAGCTTGGTTAGTCTGCTATATCCACACAGCCCCTTATCATAGCTGCATAAAGGGCAGAGGTCAGGGATGCTCTATTTTTTTAAGACTGGATGGTTTTTTTTTTTTGTTTGTATAATTTTGATGGTAAGAAAAATCCCCACATTACAGCTAGTTTTACAACATCTTTCTTATTATTCTGCACTTTCTATTGTTTTGTTACATTTTCCTTTTTGTATTTTTATTTTTTTTACCTCAGGGTAAAGACCTTCTGACTCAAAAGATCCCAGTGTGGCAGCAGGCCTGTTCAGACCCAAACAAACTGCCAGAGAGGGCGATGCTTCTGGCCCAACAGATGAGTTCTGGTGCTCTCGGGGGCACAAGTCCTCTGCACACCTCCAAATCCAACCTGGTGATCTCAGACCCCATCCCAGGGGCTCAGCCTCTTCCTATCCCCCCAGAGCTGGCTGTTTTCATGGGGAGTGGCCTTGGACACCAAGCGGTGAGGAAATCAGGAGGGGTTTTTTTTACATTTACAGTTGCACTTAAAAATATCAACTTTGAGATAAAGTTTTGTGGAAATTGTTTTATTTTTAAGTTGCACTTGCTGCTAAGCAGTTATTTACAAAACTCACTTTTGATGGAGTATTACGAAGAGACATTCATGCACTGAATTAATGCGTCATGTTTCTTCCAGAGGCTGATGGGACCTGATGGTATGTCCATGGTCAATGGGACAACAGGAGTCCATGGTGAGGAATACTGGACAGAAGGGAGTAATATGTCCCAAGTCAGACCTCCATCCCCTCAAAGTCAGGCACAGAGCCAGTCTCAGCCTCAGAGACAGGTCAGCGATGTTTATTCCAACACCCTTCCTGTCCGCAGGCCTGCTCCTGCTAAGAACAAAAACCCAGTGGGTAAGAGATCCAAACATTCTTTGGAGTTGGTCATTCACTGAAACTTAAACACACAATGAAGCAAATATGGTTAGTTTCTTACAAGACTGCGAATTATTCTGTAGTTTGGTAAGCTGTGTTATACAAAAGCACATTTTAGAAAGTGCAACATTTAGAGTTCTGGCTGTGCTTGAAAATAAACAACTTAAATTAACAGTTCATGCCACTTTTATAATCATAAGTTATCCAAAACTCCACAGGAGAAACAAGGACCCTGCCTAGGTCCAGTTCTATGGCAGCTGGACTTGAGAAGAACGGGCGCTCCCGTGTCCAGGCCATCTTCTCTCATGCTGCAGGGGACAACAGCACCCTGCTCAGCTTCTCTGAAGGAGATGTCATCACTCTGCTGGTGCCTGAAGCCCGTGATGGCTGGCACTATGGAGAGAATGAGAAAAACAAGATGTAAATATTAATGTAGCCTGTATTTCCCGAGCTCATATTGTGCAATCCTAGTGTTTATTGCATATATTAAAATTAATTTCTCTCTTTTTACCAGGCGTGGCTGGTTCCCATTCTCCTACACACGAGTTCTGCCTGAGAGTGATGGAGATAAGCTCAGAGTGAAGTATGCGGCCCTTTTCATAAAAAGCCTGTCACCATAATAAAACCAAATGAATTGGAGTCTGATGCTGCTGTTTTCTCACAGTTCCAGCCTTCATCATGGAAAAAGCAGCAGCACAGGGAACTTGTTGGAGAGCGATGCATCGCTGCCCACACCTGACTATGGCCTGACTGCCCGACTGCTGGCACAGAGCCTAGCCCAGACTCGCCCACGGCCCTACAGCATGGCAGGCTTCGCTCCGCAGGTAGTGGGATGTGTAATACACTTGATTCTACACTTGTTACACTTGTTTAGTTAATTTGAAGCTACCATCTACTGTAGATCTTTGTTGTATAATTGAACATGAGTAATCCTGCAGTAACTGAAAAACATTTCTGGTTTCTGCTGCCACCTAGTGTTTCCACCTCAGTACAACGCTTACTGTTGCCATTTTTTACAGCCTGCCATTGAGGATTATGACAGCCGCTTTGCCACAAGGTAAGTGACATATCCACCTGTCCCACCAAATATTGGCTCATGCTGTATGATTGTCACTGCTTTAAACTGCCAGACACTTACAGTTGAGATAACATCAGATTAAATTGCAAAAACCAGCAAGGCGACTGCTTCACTTAAATCTAGTTGTTGCGTTTTAATTCCATTTGTTATAATTTAGAAGATTATTTTTCTAAAGAAAGGTAAAAGCATTTCAGTGCTAAACTTAGAAGTAAAGATGCAATAATCACATACTAGTGTATTTCTTTATTTTAATATACACACTTGTGTGTGTGTGTGTGTATTTGTATGAAAAAGTTGATTTATTTCAGTAATACCATTCAACAAGTGAAACTTGTATATTATATTCATTCGTTATACACAGACCGACATATTTCAAATGTTTATTTTAATGTTGATTATTATAAGTGACAATGAAAACACCAAATGCAGTATCTCAGAAAATTAGAATATTGTGTAAAGGTTCAATATTGAAGACACCTGGTGCCACACTAATCAGCTAATGAACTCAAAACACTTACAAAGGCCTTTAAATGGTCTCTCAGTCTAGTTCTGTAGACTACACAATCATGGGGAAGACTGCTGACTTGACAGATGTCCAAAAGACGACCACTGACATCTTGTACAAGGAGGGCAAGACACAAAAGGTCATTGCTAAAGAGGCTGGCTGTTCACAGAGCTCTGTGTCCAAGCACATTAATAGAGAGGTGAAGAGAAGGAAAAGATGTAGTCGAAAAAAGTGCACAAGCAACAGGAATAACCGCACCCTGGAGAGGAAGGTGAAAGAAAACCTATTCCAAAATGTGGGGGAGATTCATAAAAAGTGGACTGCAGCTGAAGTCGGTGCTACAAGAACTACCATGCACAGACATATGCAAGACATGGGTTTCAGCTGTCTCATTCCTTGTGTCAAGCCACACTTGAACAAGAAACAGCGTCAGAAGCGTCTCCCCTGGGACTGCTGCTGAGTGGTCCAAAGTTATGTTCTCTGATTAAAGTAAATTTTGCATTTACTTTGGAAATCAAGGTCCCAGAGTCTGAAGAAAGAGAGGAGAGGCACAGAATCCACATTGCTTGAGGTCCAGTGTCAAGTTTCCATAGTCAGTGATGGTTTAGGGTGCCATTTAATCTGCTGGTGTTGGTCCACTGTGTTTTTCCACAGGGCGGCTGTGGCTGAGTGGTTAGACCAGTCGTCCTCCAATGCGAGAGTTGGGGGTTCGAATCCACCAGCAGTCAAATGCCTAAGTGTCCCTGGGTAAAACACTGAACCCCTCATAGCATCTGATGTGTGTCCCATCGGTGTATGAATGTGATCTAAAGTACTGATTAGTCTCTTTAGAATGATTTGTTCAATTAGCTTTGTAGAGATCTAGTAGAGTGCTGTATGAATGGGTAAATGAGGACACAGATTGTAGTGTAAAGAGCTTTGAGTATCTTGAAATAATATAGAAAGGCTCTATACAAGTACAGTCCATTTACCATTGACCATTTTCTGAGGTCCAAGGTCAATGCAGCCGTCTACCAGGAAGTTTTAGAGCACTTCATGATTCCTGCTGCTGACCAACTTTATGGAGATGCCAATTTCATTTTCCAACAGGACTTGGCACCTGCACAACGTGCCAAAGCTACCAGTACCTGATTTAAGGGCCATGGTGTCCCTGTTCTTAATTGGCCAGCAAATTCGCCTGACCTTAACCCCATAGATAAACTAAGGGGTATTGTGAAGAGGAAGATGTGATACACCAGACCCAACAATTCAGAAGAGCTGAAGGCCACTATCAGAGCAAGCTGGGCTCTCACAACACCTGAGCAGTGTCACAGACTGATCGACTGCCACGCCACATTGCTGCAGTGATCCAGGCAAAAGGAGCCCCAACTAAGTATTGAAACTAAGTATTGAGTGCTGTACATGCTCATACTTTTCATGTTCATACTTTTCAGTTGAACATTTTTTTAAATACTTTTTATTTATTGGTCTTATTAATGTTCTAATTTTCTGAGATACTGAATTTTGGGTTTTCATTAGTTGTTAGTTATAATCATCAACATTAAAATAAATAAACATTTGAAATAGATCAGTCTGTGTGTAATGAATGAATATAATATACGTTTCACTTTTTGAATGGGATTACTGAAATAAATCAACTTGTCATGATATTCAAATTTTATAACCAGCACCTGTGTGTATATATGTACACACACACACACACTTTTGTTTTTTAGATCTTGAACATTACGTTTTTTTATATACATTTTTACTTTGACCTTTGGCCCCATTTATTTTATGCATTTATTCATTAACTTATTCATAGTTTAGTTGAATAGATCTAAATTACTGTAGTTTTAAGAAACTCTTCGTCTTTTCTGTTGTACACTGTTTGATTTAAACATTTTTGCTGGCTTTTTACTTTTCCACCTAAGGCAATTTTAAATCATTCTTAATACTGATTGTGGTTTAGTAGGATTATTTTCCCCCAGTTTCTCAGTTTTATCAGATGAGTGTGTTTAGCTTTAATCTAGTTAAGTTCTTGCTCACTCTCAAGTTTATTTGATGAAGCTGAGGTTAGAAAATATACTGTGCTTCTTTCTGTCCAGTCAGGCAGTACATCCTTCTATATATGTATATAAATGTGTGTAAACTGGTTTATTTGTGTTTGGGGAGGGGTAATTGTATGAATGAGTGGGAAATAGTTAAATGTCCTGGACTGGCTGTATAATTGTACTGGTGTTTGGAGTATACAGTATGTGTTGTGATGGTAGACATCATGCTGACCTCATCTCAGTCATCAGTGCTCGTCAGCCTGGGGCTTTGAGCACCAGTGTCAAGCTTTTACACAAACACACTCCTGTCTGCTCTAAATGTTTGTGAGTTTTAATTCTGTATCAGTATTTTGAGACAACACTGTCGTGCAGGGTGTATTCACCCAATCTGATTAATCCTACATCCCTCCAGCTACAGACATGACGTAAAAATTTCCTCATCAACAGCAACTTTTTTTTAAATATTATTTTTAGTGTATTTGAGAAAAAAAAAAAATCCCAAATTGTAGAACACATTGTTCCAGCAAACATGTGGTGTTGATGATGGAATTGAGTCTGATCTTCCTGATTTTGGTGGGTGGATTTGGAGTTTGCAGGTGGGGCGAAACAGATTTCTTGACCCCTCACCTGCACTTCTCCTTAAACCCACCCCGCCTCACTGTGCCTGTCTTGTCTCTCTCCATTTCTCTGAGTGTGTCCGACCTGGCAAGCTTCCTTCTCTCTTTGTTCCACAGTGACAGTCCTGATGGCAAATTGATTTCGACTGTGTGAGAACAGGCATACAGACAGAAACAGAGACAGCTCCGGATAGCACAGGGGCCTCCTCCTCCCCATCTTTCCTCCCTCTTATCCTCCCTCCTGTCCACTTAGCTCCACCTCTTCCCCTTCTGCCTCCACACACACCCCTTCTCCAAATGGAAGAGGCCAGTTTCATCCCTCCTTTCTGTCCTCTCTTCCTCCCCGGGTCCCTCCTTTCCTCCTGCTGTCCGTCCTGGGTGCTGCTGCTGGTGGCGTCGGTGTGGACAGTAGCGGCTGGTGGGTGGAGGATTGCGTTGAGCGAGAGAGCCTGAGCGGGGCCTACCTGCTCGGCATGCAGCGTTACGGACTCTGAAAACTCTTTGATCGCAGTCCACCATCATGGACGGATCTCTCAAGAGACTGCCTTTGCTACTGCTTGTCTTTCATGCATGTACATGGTTGTGTCATTTTTGTCTAAACCGAAAGACATGTTCATGTACTGTACAAGTGCCAAAAGACTTCAGTGTCATCGTACTTAAGCCACTTACTGACGGCCTTTTCAAGCACCTTGGGGCCAAATGTTATTCAGTTCTCATCCAAGACAAACGCTCAAAAAGCTTTGTTCAAAGTAAAGTTCAGAGGCTGTCCAGCAGCTAATGTTTCTGTTACGAGACATTCCCATAGGTCCTGCTGTGCTTCCTTGTGTCAGTGCTCAGATTTTCTGTCCAGACGATGTCATGTTTGCCTTACTTTGCTTTTGATCCCCTTCCTTTATGAAACACAATATATGTGCAATGAAGCAAATTTTGAAAGTTTCTACATTTAACGTTATATATAGCTATATCAAATATTTTTTTGTCAATTCAGTTTGCTTTCTCACATTAAAATGTGTGCTTGAATAACCTTTGCACCTACAGATACACAAACGTTTACAAATAAACTACCGTATTTTCCGGACTATAAGGCGCACCGGATTATAAACTAAACAAAACAGACAAGTCAAACTTTATTCAACTCATTCACAATAACCACATACAATTGGTTCGAGGTCAGTAAGAACAACCAGGTTTAATACATAAGGCTCACTGTGGATTTTTGAGAAAATTAAAGGATTTTAAGTGCGCCTTTATGGTCCGAACAATACGGTAACAAATCCTGGCTGAAACTACTTCCGTTTTATTTTTGGTGACGTTAAACCCCTTACACCAATTTTCTTTAAATGATTTTATCATATTTTATTGATCACCTGAAGCTGTAGTGATCTGCGCGATCTTTCAATGAGTATCCTCAATTACAGCTGTTTACATTTACAGGTTGGGAAAAAAAGACGGCTTTTGCAGCTTTTCTTGTTATTTATTATTGTATTCCCTGAGTGACTCTGTAATGTTTCCCTTTTTCTTTTTCCTTTTTTCTTTTTTTCGGTCTTTTCTTAAAAAATGAACACTAACATATTTGTAGAATCAACGAACACCTGCTGATTAGCAAATGTTTATCTAATGCATGCTGTGGAGGAAAACTGGAAAATGTGATGCTAAAAAAAATTGACCTTGAATGTATGGTGACTTTTTACGAAACTATTCTAAATAAAACACACATCTATATATTAATAAACAGTCTGGTCTGTGGAGAAGTCTGTTCTGCCAGTGAGAAGGCATTATTTACAATTTTGTTTTACTTTTTTTTGTTCCCTTATTGAATATTAAAAAAAATGAGCACTTTTGTGAGTAAATCTCTGTCCCGGCTGTGCACGTTTCATCCCTGCACCTCCCCCAGCATCCACAGCATCTTCGCTGTAGAGAATGTGTGTGTGGTGTTCAGTGTGTGTATTGTACCTGAACTTTTCTGCCTGCCTAGTTTTATTTTATTTTTTTTTCTTGTCTGTGAGTTGTATTTGGAATATCAAAAGTAGACATTCTGCCAGATGTAACCCGTTTTTTTTATATATATATATATTATAATTTAATTTACATTAAAATTTGTGTTCAGTTAAAAATGGGTTTTGCACATGGTATGGCATGTTGAGCATGAAGTGTGCACTCCTGCGTTGCATTCGTCATTCCAGCTAATTATGGTATGTTCATCTTGCATCAGACTAACAAGTGTCCAACAAATTGTGATCCATGCATGATGTGAGATATGAACCATTCAAACCCAAAGGTTCTCTTTACCTTTCAGTTTGGGTCCAGAATTATCACGGTTCTGAGGGAACAGGACCTCCGTAAGTCACCAGTCTCCATCGTCTCCTAACCAATCATTCTTTCTTCACGTTGTTGCTGCCTGCTTCTGCTTTCACTGGCTGGGCAATGGAAATCCTTGTTTTTAATTGTTTTTGTTTTTGCTATTGTTTGATTTGCACAATCCAGCAGTCTTTGGGTTTTATTTTTATTTTTCCTTCCTAACACGATCGCACAGAGAAGACACTAACCCTCCATGCTATCACTAACTCTTTTTCATGGCTGTATTTTGTTTTTTCTCACCCCATGCCTGCGCTCACAAAACATTTATTATTTATTTACAGTTATTCAATAAAAAAAAAGGGCTTGTGGTACTAAAATGACCTTTATGTATATATCAAAAATAGCTATTTTGTTCATGCTAACTAAAAGTGTCCCCTGTCCCACCCCTCCTCTCCCCGCAGTGACCGCTCAATAGAGATCTTCCTCCGGCCCACCTTCACTGACGACCGATCTGCACCCATCTACTACTAGCAGCCTGCTGCCCCCCACTGTTCCCACTCATGGCTACATAATAGCCATCACTGGCATGCTTTAATACCACAGGAGAACCAAGAGATGGGATTCAGGGGGGAGCTGTATTGATAATCAAGAACTGGGAATTTAGTTACTTTGCTCAGAAAATTAAAGAATTTCCAATAAATTTTTCTGAAACTGCTTTTACCTCTACTGAATGTCTCGGCCTGAACAGTCAGGAAGAAACCGTGGCAGTAGACCGTATTATAGTGAAATCAGTTCTGTTGAAGGTACGGCTAGGAAGTAACTAATTATCTGCACTTCTATTATAGGATTAGCTTTTTGTTTTAATTTTACACTATACACGACAGATTTTATTTGGTATTATTTACATTATTTAGGAGTGAAGGCTCAGTCTGCATTACTTTGAGACTGGAGGGTAAACATGAAATGTTTGGAAACGATTCTTCCAGCATGAAATTGGTTTGAATGGAGAAGCACAAGCGGCTCGAAGCAGACGGTTTGTCACGTAACTATAAATCCACATCTGTTAAATTATATAGGAGTTCATAGGTAATAGTTGATGTACAGTAACCCAGATGTTTAATGTGGGAACTGTGCCTTTTTGCATTATTTTTTATTCATATATTGGTTTCTGTTCTATAAATTGGTTTAAGGGAATGTGCAGCAGACTTCCACAGGTACTTTTATGATCCTGAAATTATTGATGGGATTGTTTCACCTTTTTGTTTTGTTTAATTTTCGTTTTAGCTCTTTTTTTTTTTTTTTTTTTTTGCTCAAGCAAGCTTCCGCATAGTGCAGTTGCAGCTCTACAGAAATACAGATGTATATTCTGAAGTGCTTATCTTTCCCTCTATTTGAATTTCAGCAATATCTAGTCTGGCAGACTCTCAGAAGATGGGGGGAAATGCATATATAACGGGATTGTTTTTATTTAATGTTTAGCTTTAAAAGGAGTATTAGTTTTACAGATAAGGTACAGTATTGTCATCGTTTTTGAGCTTTCATTCTCAGTATTACACGGTACACTCATGTGGGACATGAAACTGAGAGAAGCTGTTTTGATACGATGTGAAGATCAAGATGAAAGTGAGAAGCACAAAATGTGTATATGAATGGTTGTGTGATTGAGCTGACGTTGAGTTGCAGCAAAGAAAGTAAGTTAGAATTTTTATTTTTTTTATTTTTACAGATGAGTCATTTACACTGTGTGATATGGGCTTGCTTTATTTACAAATCTAATCTAGTAAACTAGGCTTTCATTTTAAAAAAGCTTCTTCTTTTTTTTTACACTTTTATATACGTGCATACCGCTCATCTTCATTTCTCATGTTTGTCCTCGTTTGTATTATACCTGTACTGTACAGAACATGTGTATAAATTATCTTGTCTAAAATAAATTTAAATGTGCACAATTGCCCCTTTTTTATGTGTTACATTGTCACGTTTTGTTTGTACCTACAGATCTTTGACATAAATTCAAATAAATCTATCACAAATACAAGAAGGGGAAAAATTACTTGAATTTATTCATTTATATGTATATATTTGAAGGGGATGGATGGTACAACAGCCATGAGTGAGGAACAAATGGAAACGGTGATGTTACTCCCAGTGCATAACTCACCTTCTCCAAAGGTATCTGCTGCTCAGACCAACGGGCTTTTCAATATTTCTTTGGCAAATTTGAGACTGTCATCCTGCATTAGTTACCGTTTCAGAATGGTCATACAAAAATGCTGGCAATGTTTCTGCACAGCTTGAAAAGGCAAGTTGGAAAGGTAAGATATTGGCACTCGGAACTACAGAACTAGAGAGAAGGGATCTGTCAATACAGCAGAAGTAATTCAAGTCAAGCTACCAGCTACATGATATAAGATTCATACAATGTCTTTTTCTGATTGCTTAGTTCATACACGTCAGGCTCGGGCATTCAGCACAAGGTAGTACATAATTTGTGTATGAGATTTTTAAGCAAGAGATGCATAAAAAGAACAGACATTCAGCATGTTGATGCCACTGGAACAAGTGGAAACACCTCATTTTCTGATTTCACTTCAATGATTAAGAAATTACATTAAAAGACCAATATGTTTTCAAACAAAGCTGTAGCTATCACCAAAAACAGAAAATCAAATTTTCTGCTTATTTTTAATCCAGGATGGGCTACATAAAGTGCAGCAAAGGCTGAAGAATATAGTGGTGGCAACACTTTTGATTTTCTGTATCACAGTCACCATGATCTGTATACGACTTGCATTTATGTCACAAGCTCAGCTCAACCACCAGCATCACCACCAGTCATGGCTGGTGTTTTAAGATGTGTCGCTTACGGTGGCCCTGAGGTGGAAATGAGCATTTGAAAAAAATGAAATTACATATGGGGAAAAAAAAAAAAAAAAACCTGAATTACATTAAGCCAAAGCGGAAGTGGCTGAAGTGGAAGTGGTCAAAGCAGAAGTGGACGGAATTGCATTTGAAAAAATGGAATTACAATCCCTCATTTATCACGGGGGATCCGTACCCTGAAGTCCCATGATAAGTGAAAAACCTCAAAGTAGGAATAGCAGTACAAGTAGTAGCCTAAGTAGTAGTTTATTTTAGTGTCTGTGTGTGTGTATATATTAAGGCATTTTAAACCCCACTCTTGTAATATTCTAAAAATGTTTCTAAACTCTAAACGCTCTAAAAGAGCCACAGAATGTCATGATTTCCCTCTGCCCCCGCTGCTCTCAGCCACCTGCAAGTGTTCTTGGCCACACCCACTTCTCCGCTCTGCACAGAGATCAGCTGATCAGCTGCAGCAGGAAGTTTATCCTGCAGTGTGGGCTGCACAAAGGTGCAGCAGGAAGCTTTTTCTCCAGCTCTGGGCTGCACACAGGTGCAGCAAGTGCTAAATAATTTATAATTTATTTTGAATTGATAAAATCCATGCCGATTATGCGTCTCATCCATCAATCACCCATTTGTGTGTCATGTCAATCTTATTTTGAAAAACTGCAATAGAGTGAGTTCGCGATAAACGAACCGCCAAGTAGCCAGGAACTACTGTACATTGGAAAAAAACGGAATTACATTAAAACAAACTAAGTGGTGGTGTGCGTGCGTGTGTGTTAACTTTATTAACAATACAAACTCATGAAGGATGTGGGGTCTGTGCCATTCATTCAGTTGTTTTTTAATTGAGAATCCAATATATATATATATATATATATATATATATATATATATATATATAATTTAAAGACTTATTTTGTGTATTCTGTTTTATCAAACGTAATTCTGTTTTTTTCTAATGTAATTCTGGCCACTTCCACTTTGGCTTAATGTAATCCATTTTTTCAAATGTAATTTAGTTTTTTTTTTTTTTTTTTCAAATTTAATTTTTTTTTTCCCAACATACTGTAATTCCATTTTTAAAATGTTTTTTTGTTGTTTTTTAAAATGTAATTCCATTTTTTCAAATGTTAATTTACACCTCAGGGCCACCATAGTCGCCGCTTCTTTTGCAAAAATCGTCGAGTCTGACGTTTGAGGTCTGGAACAGTCTTTAGTTGATGAAAATAGCTTGAGCAGTGGAATGCGTAAAGGCAGCCAATGAAAGGAGGAGCAGCAGCTATGATGCACTTTTTTTTTTAGGGTTGGACTTTAAGAATGGTTTCTATTTTACATTCTTAAAGAACTGAGTGGTCACCAAAAGAAACTGGTGCAGCACTGAACAAATAATGTACTGTTGTGTGTGTGCTGTAAGTTAGAAGTACAATAATAATCTTTATATATTTCTGCAAACAAGATAACTTCAGACTCTGGGGTTGCTGTTCTTGCACCATTTTTGCTTTTTCTTCACGGAATAAAAAGTGTGCAAATCAATCAGGTGTCTGACTACAGTATGAGGCACTGTCTCATAAAGGGTCACCAAGTCAGATGTCCCAAATTCTGATTAAAAATAAATCTCTGTAAATCATCTAAACTAAGATCATGTGATTTCTCTGTGTTTGAGATGAACTTCTCTTGTCTTCTTTAACGACTGCTCAGTCCTTTGGATCATCTTCACCATTACCTGTTGGACACAAGTGATGGAGGTTACTTCATAAAACATCTTCTACAGATATAAACAAATAAATGGCTGAACCAATAACTTTCATCTTGCAGTGGCCATTTTAAAGCAACAAAGTTGTTCAAAAATGGGTGTAGATTACTGAGCAGTCTAAGCAACATAAAGGAAAGGTTTAAAACAGACCTGTTGAGCTTATGTGGGTGTCGGACACATGTGTGATAGAGAATCTTGAGACCATGAAACGGTTATGTGGCACGGGGACAGGTTTAGGAGCTTCATCGGCATTGGAGGTGGATGTGGGAGAGGACACGGGGTCAGGGACTGTGTGAAGTGAAGGTGGTAAGGGCTCAAAGGAACGGTCATCTTCCCAATCACAACTTCCACCTGAATGCATGCAGATGGCCAAGGACACTGATAAATCCAGAATACACAGTCATGGATTGTAAAAAAAAAAATGTGGCATATGCTCTCACCTTCTTCAGAGGTGTTTTCATCGGCTTCCTCAGAAACACAATGAGGATCAGAGGACTCGGCTTTGAGCTCTGAGTCTGAAGGCTCCTGCTCACTGGACTCTTTTCCTGTGGAGAATGAATTGTCAGCCAGCTCTCCAGTGGGGCTCTCCTGAAAGTTAGAAAAAGCAATTAAATAACTGTTTATGCAAAAATAGAATAAATCAACTCTGACCTATCATACCTGGTCAAAAAGAAACACTGTGACGTCATCGAAAAAGGACACCGCTTTCTTCTTTGTCTCCAGCTCATCACAAAAGGACTGGGTGAGGAGGGTGGGCATCTTCAGGAGACCGCGGAGGTGGCTCGCCCTGCTGCAGTCACTCACCACCACTGGTACTGTGGTGACATCCTCCTCACTCTCCTCACTGTCTTCATCTTGGATGTTGTAGGTTCTTAGCTCCTCATCAGACTCGCTGTCATCAGAGTCGTCTTCATCCTCCGCCTCTTCCAGCGGAGCTCTTACATCTTCTCCACAAAGCTCCAGCAAAGATGAGGATGTGGAAAGGTCATGATGACCATTAGACTCTTCACACAGGCTGTCACTTTCACCTGCATCTATGTCTTCAAAGTCTTCCTCGTTGATGTGGACGCATTCTGCTCTGTTTTCTGTGTCCTTGTTGATGAGACTGTTTTCAGGCACCTCCTTTTCATCAGGGGATCCACCATTTTCTGTTTCCTCACAGGACTCCTCTCTGCAGTCATTTATGGTGCATCCAGAAAGCAATGAATGGACAGAGTAGCAGCCTTCTGCTCCCCTGCTCCCCTCACTGTTTGTGGTGGCTTGGTGGACAGAAGAGCAAGGTTCTGACCCAGTGGAGGAGCCTACATCTGACGTAGGCTCATTCGCTGAGTGCTCTGTCTCCAAACCGAGATCCTCCTCTGCAGGGGCAGACTCTTTGGTCAGGCACCCACCCATCTGTGGAGGAAATGGTGACAGCATGGACAACCCAGGGGTGGAGAAAGTGTTGTGTGAGTTAGAGTCAGCCTCTGAGAGATTCAGCAAAACACTACTTTCAACGTGCCTCAGGTTAGTTAAACTTTCTCCGTTGTTGATTTGCCTTTCAACAGAACTGTCTTCTACAGAGTTAAAAATATTAGCTGAGCCATGATGGTTCTCTGAACCTGCAAAGAACTTATGGTTTCCCTCATTGGGACTCCTCTCATTTTCTGCATCATAGTCAGAGAAATAAGCGGAGTCCCTGTATGGATTCTTGCCAAACAGGCCTTTTACATGTAGCTCTGAAGTGCTTATGGAAGTGCCGACCCCCTGCCCTAAACTAACCTGTAGAGCAATTTCAGATTCTCCACCAAGCACCGGGCCATTCTCACCGCCCAGGGGATCTCCAAGCTCTTTGAAGATAAACTCTGGGGATTCGTTGTTTTCTGTGTCATAGCCACTATCCAGGGATTTAGGCAAGATGGGGATATTGAAAGGATCTGGGCTGAAGCCCTGGGAACAGGAGCTTGTCACAGATGATGTCAGGTTAATGGCATCCACAGAGTTAGAAACCCTCTCTTGATTTTTCCTTGGGCTGAGGTCGTCCTCCTCAACCTCGCTCAAGTCAAGGTGGAAGTCAGCAAAGATCCCTGATGTGATATCAGTGATGTCATCTTCATCATCTTCACTGTAGTCAAGTTCAACCAGGCAACTGCTGGACTTTCTTACCCCCACTCCACTATCCAATGTTCTGCTGCCTTCTGAGGTCTGTGCATATGTGAGCCTCATGCTGCTCAGACCAAGCGATGCTTCAGTTGAGATTCCCTCAGCGATCTTTCTCTGCCCATCAGACACTGTTTGACCTGCCTGAGGCTCCTTCCAAGAGCACGGGTACTTAAAATAACTTGCCTCAGGTGTCTCGGTGTACAACCCCTCTCTGTGAGGTAATGATTCATATTTAGCTTCCATTTGTCCACCCTTTGTTTCACTGGTTGTGTTTGAACTGAGGAGAGAGTGAGTGCTTTGTGAGTTGCTAAAGTTTGTATGCCTTTCCACTTGAGCTGAGGTTTCTCTCTCTTTGTGGCATAAGTGGACGTATGAGTCTAACTTGGGCTCACAAGCAGTACTCCAACCAGAACAACCTCCACTGCCCTTCAAGCTGTCACAAGGTTTAGAACTCTGGAAGGTTCTTGTTGTGGCCTTGGTTAAAGACCATAATTCCGTTGTGTTGGATGGAACGTTCACAGAAATGTCCCTTCCACTGCCTGTCTGCCTGTTGTCAACACTCAAGCTGTTATTGTTTGCTGAATGGTTTGAGATCCAGTTAGTGGCCTCTCCCTCAGAAAACAAGTCAACTTCTTCTTCTTCACTTCTCCGCCGCCCCAACAACAGGCCATCATCTGTTCCTATATTTATATCAATGTGATTAAGAATGGGAAAGGTCTTTTTTAGTGAGCCTACCTGACTTTGGAAGCTTTCGTTAACTGTGTTTGTTTCGAGGTAAGGATCGCAGAACCCTAAACTGGGGCTGCTAACAGCTTGTGATAAACTCTGTGGATTTTCAAAGGGAACCTCAGGATGCAAAACAGCTGTTTGGGACTCTGGTGATGTTTTCAAATCATATGAAGAGGACTGTTTATGTGTCTTGAATACTGCTGACTGTTCACAGTGGTCTATTTTACTGAAATCAGATGGGAGGGAGTTATAAGAGTGACCTAACTTTACAGGACGGTTGCCAGATGAACGAGCGAGCAGTGGCTGCATGGTTTGCTGAATTGTGGGACTTGAATCAGAGTAATTTAATGTGGTATTGTCAGCAGTTGACCAGTAAGCACAAGGCTGTGCTGTAGAAGAACCAGTGCAATTCTCAGAATATGATCTGATGTGAGTAGTTTCCAGTCCTGAGCTGTAGTCCACAACATCATCTTCTAGCTTGATGTTGCATTGGACTGGTTCTTCTATGCGAATGTAGTATTCACTGCTAACTGAGGGGCTGTGGGCACTCAGCACTGGGACAATACCTGTATGTTCAGGCTCATAATAGGACGGGGATACGCTTGATGTCAGACTGTCAGTCTTGCAGCCCCCTGAGGAGCTTCCTGTGTTTGAATAATAAATATCCTGGTAGTGTGGGTTTTCCTGGCCTAGTTTTCCACTAGAAGAAGAAGAGCAGTAGGGCTGTTCGGCTCGGGCTTGTTCCCATTTGTATTCAAAGTTGAGACCGTGGCTTGTCTCAGTGACAGTCAGCAGGTCATCCCCAGTGTCAGACTGAAAGCTGTCTGAGAAGTGCTGAAGAAGAGGGAAGGAGGACGAGGCAGAAGAGGCCAGCTCCACTGTCTGTATTTGCTCTGCAATGGGGACGTCAGCAGAATTGGATGTGGGGGTAAGGACCAGGGATGTGGAAGAAGCTGTGTGTGACGTGCTACCAAGTGAGTTTGGTCTCAAGACGTTCCAGCGTTGCTCAAAGTCTTCCTCAGCTTCACTAGAGCCTTTGGCACACAGGTATGTGACCAAAAGGTGTACCTCCTCAATACTGGGTCTGAGCTCTGACTGTAGCCAGCAGAACTGCATCACCTCATACCTGAAACAAGTACAAAAAAGTTGTAGTTGGACTACTCTCAAGAAGGAATTTTATACAAGATATTTTCAAATAAATAAATGTGTTCTTCCAAGGCAGAAGTTAAAGAGTTGATCCGAGAGAAATAAGAATGCAATTTTAAAAAGAACTCCAGAAATCAGCACTTTTTACCAGCACCTGGCACAGATTTATTGCTCCAGTCAATGGCAGAGCATTTGGAAGAGGTGCAGTGCAGATGCTGACACAGTTAGAAGATCTTCTTCGTGTGTCAGTGTATCTTAGTACCAAACATGCTTATTCCACTGACGGACAACAGTGACAAAAAATAATGGATATAAACATGTTTGGGAGACTTCCAGGTAAAGATAAATGGGGCGATTTAACTCTGGTTGACGCTGAGTGGATCATAAAGAATAAAAAGGGTATTGATCATCTGCCCCTGCTTGCAAAAAGAGATATATAGCTACAGTGCACCACCATAAGTACATCTATTGTTAAAATAGAAACCATTAAGTAGTTTTAAATTAATTGGCCTGTTAGACCTACTGCCCTATAATTTATATTCTATGTGCATCATCTTGCATTTGAATAAAATATGTTTCTCTGAGCAGATAAATATCTTACCAACGATCGTCCAGAGGGAACTGGAGCTGGGGTTTGGGTAGTTTAAGCTGCTGTTCCTTCACAGCATATGTCAACACCTGCCTGTCAGAGTAGTGTCTGTATGGCTGGTTTCCCAGTTCAAACAACTCCCATATAGTCACACCCAGTGACCTGGAAAAAGAATAGGAGAAAAAAAAGTCAAATCTAATCAATTTTCCTCAAAGCAGGTTTTTATAGCAGCGCTATCTCATGAATTCTTAGGTAATATTTTCTGTTTGTGCTCAGGTATCTCACCACATGTTACTACTTTTGGTTTGATCGACAACCAGCAGGTTTCCGTGAACTTCGTCTATGAGTTCTGGTGCAATCCAGCGCAGAGGCACCCAAATCTGGTCTTGCGTTACGTAGTAGTCATCCTGAAGGACCAAACAGCATGAACAGCTAAGCACAGGGGGGTTGGAGTCTTTGAAAGATGGTAAATTATCAAACCTTGTATCGGCTGTGAGAAAGTCCGTAGTCTCCGATCTTTACCGACATTTCTGATGTTAGCAGACAGTTTCGCAAAGCCAGGTCACTGTTGTGGGGAAAAGAAGAAACCATGTGATCAATATATATTACGCCGTTTGGTTCCAACTGCTTTGAATACTGTTTTTTTAATGTTCACTATAATTTTTATGAAGTTGTGAGTAATTTATCAATATTATTGTTTAAAGTAAAGCATGAAACTCACATATTACCAGTAACATAAAGTGTTTCTTTACAGTTGTGAGAGGGCACACACTAATATTAGGACATTCAAGGTTATGTCACCTTCTCCACATGTTGTTTTTAATTAAATTAAATTCAGTTTATTTCTATAGTGCCAAGTCACAACAGAAGTCATCTCAGGGCACTGAACAGAAACACTCAAAACAAAAAGTAAGTTAATAACATTATTTATCTGAGGAGCCAGCAATTTTACAGTTTTGAAGTCTGAGATTTGTTGCCTTGGTCTCCACCGCATGGCAGAGAGAGAGGGAGTGAAAGGGGCTCACCCCCAGCAACAAAATCACTGATGCTGGAGTTTGTGTCAACCACTCAGGCAGCACCAGGATTTTGTTGCAGGAAGAGACCATAGGGGGGCGCAGAAGACCATTTAGGTGGAAGCTTCCTTTGAAAACATTAATATCAGAATAAGAATGACAACTATCTGTGCAACAAACCTGTGAGTGATGTTGTATTTGTGTAGATGAAGAAGCCCTGATGCAATGTCGCAGGCCATCTTCTGGAGAATCAAAATGTCAGGAGTTTCTGAGTCAGCGGATCGGCAACTGCGTAGATAATTCTTCAAATCACCCTGACATGAGGAAAGGAAAGAGGGTTGACGTTGTTCTGACTGAGGATCAGTCTGAGAACAGAATAAACAACTGTAAGAAATAAATTCTGTCATCACACCAGAGGGCAAAACTCCATGACCAGTAGATACGGGGTGACTTCTGAACACTGTGCCAGACACTGCAGGAGGGCAGGGTGCTGGAGGGTCCTGCCACAGCAAAGACATGGAACAACTAGAACAATGAACAATAATTTGACTGTGCATTCACACTGCGATGAGCTGTTCGTCCACTGAAGAGCTGTACTCTGAAGATGTTTAGTGCACTGACCGATACGGCTGCACCTCCTCCAAGAATTTGATCTGATCCTGGATGCTGGCACTGGACTTCAGCTCCTTCACCACCACCTGGGTAGTGCTGACTCCTGCACTGACCTCACCCAACAGAACCTATATGCAAAGAGGGCAAAGGAATAAACAGTCCCAGGCAGGAATAAAATGTTATTCAGTATGAACGCCATCAATACAAGTGTCCAGACTGAAAACCAGAAGAAACCTGGTGAAACTGGTGTGACAAGTGTAAGTGTCATCGTAGCATGTATGTGGCAAACTGTAAGGAATCTATTGTAACAGTGCTAAAGATTTGATTCTGTAAATGAGATCTTCATTAGATTAACACAAAGAAGTGGTGGAAAGTCTGTTAGAGTACGATGAAGACATTAAGGTTTAAGCTTTAAGCATTTATGTGGAGTAATAAAATCTTTGGACTCAACACATATAAATATTTGTATTGAAAAAAAGAGCAGCTTTTACCTTTCCAAACCAGCCATGTCCCATCTCTTTTAGATACAGCAGACTGTGGCGGCCAATGTCTGATGACTTCAGCAGCTGTACTGGAAGAGAATATCGGCAACACAAGATTAGTTTTAATCAGGAAACAATTTTAAATTGCTTTGGTTGGAAATAAATATGAAAAACAATTATTGTGTTGCAATGTTCAAAGCAAAAAGAAAAATTAAATGTTGTTTTCAGATAAAGACAATGTTGCATTATAGTGCAATCAACATTTTCCTGACCCACTCAAGCAGTAACTTTTAAAATACAACAAAAGGCAACACGATTTTGCAGAATAAAATACCTCCGTGAATCCTCATAATTGAGGAATGCAGATGTTGGTGAGCGATGAGATGATGGGGACTGCAGAGTTTAGCGGCCAGCCGCTCTCAGCACTGTGACAGGGACTGACTCCGAGACCCCGGCTGAGATCAAGTATTGATTCAGAGTGTGAGAACCAAGAGCCCTTGGCCCCAGTTCCAGCCCCAGGCATCGTAGCGTTGTTGTGTGTATGTGAGAACGAGCTCATGGTCACAGTATGTGTGTGAGAGCCTCGGCAGGATTTAACCCACCGAGCCCTTGCACAGCTGAACAAGCCTCTTTCCATCTGCACCGAGCTCATCCTCCAACTGGGACACACACAAACATGCAACGGTCCTCCTTGAGGGCTTTCCACCTGTTGAGCAAATATTAAAATCCTTGGTTCCTAAACATACAGCATTAAAATAAACAGCAAACGGAAGTAAAAGACGAATTCAAGTCGGAGAACCGAGTCGGAGAACCGATTTGCTGATGGCTCAGTACAGGAGTCCCGAAGCAGCGCTCTGGTCTGCTGTGCCCATCACGCATGTTGGTAGCATGCCGTTTGACGCACCAGCTCTATGTGCAGCTTCAAGACACCCTGTAGTGACATAAGGTCCACATAATGGCCCCTTGTCACCCGGGACAGCATCGTTCCTCAGCCAAACATGAAACAAACACTGTTCTGTTCAGTGCAGGAAAAAAAGATCTCTGTCACTCAGTGCAGGAAAAAAGATCTCTGTCACTCAGACTGACCATCCCTATCTGAAGCCCCCCCCACCACCACCACCACCACTTTTAGGCCATTGTGCATGCCACCGCACTTTTCCTACCCCTCACAGACCCCTCACTGTATTAGGCCCATAACGCCAGTCCTCCGCTGATGCGTTCCTCGGACATTTCAGTCCGGTCTTCTGCTCCCCCACTGGCCAGCCGTCTTAAATGAGAACCATTGTTTGTGATGTTCACGTACACGCTCACACTGTCTCCTGGTACCTAATGCACTGAACACACAACTGAGTAAACAAGGCCCATTCTTTACTGGAACGCTGGGCAGAGGTTGTCACGGTGACAGTAGACCCACACTTGACCATCATAACCCCTGAGCCTCCTCCCTGCCTGACGGAGATAAGAGTTTTAAATTGAGACGGTGGTGATATTTTTCTAACATGGGCTGTGTGAGTGTGCATTCCTGCCCCGCTAATGACATTCCCAGAAGGAATGGCACAACCCAACAAGCCGTTAGTGGGATACAAACACAATGGCTTCACACACTCACTTTGATGCATCGAGCCTCTGCAGTGAAATTTTACTTGACCTCTTGAACAAAAGACAAAAGCATCAACTCTGTCGGACCCATGGGAAACACTGAACCGTGTGTTCGTCTCGATGTATAATTGTTGTAGAAAACACCATTCATGATGTATTTATCAGCTATACAACTGGTGGTTTTACTGTAGGAGCAACAAGACCTATCCATTCATTGTGTGCATGGAAAACTTATGTGCATAAAGTTAATATGTATAAGGGACATTTCAATAACAAGAAAATTAATTGCTGTATATAAAAATCCCCTTCTGCGTTCTTAACATTTAACATACTGGTGTCATTGTCAGCAAACATATAGCCATTTTGGTAGACGTTTCTCTCTTTAAAACATCTGCCTTTATTAGGAATAAAGCAAAAGCAATGGTTTATTAATTTAGAAAAATACCTAATAATATCCCCGTTAAATCAATACACAAGATAAATGAAGATGTGTGCCAAAAGTTAAGTGCAACAACAAGTTTCCTGGAGAAAACGAGAATGATTCATACAGTAAATCATTCTCCTTACTCAGAGTGGAAAGGAACAATTCCTGTTTCACAATCTCTCCTTTCACCATCTATTCATTCCTCGCCCTGCAACACCTGGACCAATCACACGGCCGTCACTACGAGGGACAGAGGCGAGCGCCGTGATTGGCTGCGAGCCTCAGGCTGCCTCGTCCAATCACTGTTGGCGCTCTCATCCTGGGATGCTGAGCAGCAACTAGCCTCCTCTTCTGGCAGAGCAGCGTGCAGCGCAGACAGCCAGTGAGTCATGCAGGCTAAGACAAACTGAACACCCAGGATGTGGCTCACGCTGACACAATAACACACATTTTAAAATAAGGTTGGACGACCTGATAAAATACAAGCAGATGAAAGAGAAATGCTGTTCAGATTTCTGGAATACAAGCTGAATGCGCAAACTCAGAATGGATGCTTGATGAAATTCTGACATTAGATTAAGTTAATAAAATGGGATGAGGCACCACTTTTTATTGATGAAAATGTAAAGGATGATACATTTAAATAAGCTCACAAAGCTTCAGAATCAATATTATGATCAGAAACCTAGGCTTCACCCCTGCAGTAAGTCAGTTTTCTCTTCAGATATTAGTCTCTCATTTGAGAAAAGGGTAAAATGAAAGGACAAGCAAGGACACATTCTAAATTATTTGTTTTCTTCATATACTGGAAAATCTCTATATGTTTTTATTTAAAAGAAAAAAATATATATTTTTAAATGTGAATCCATATTAAAATGTCACTTTTAATAACAAATAATGTGAGTAAACACAATACTACGATATATGCCTCGATATTGCAAAAGTCTGCCGAGGTTTGTTACAATGTAATGGGACAAATATTAGCTTAACATCTTTATTACATTTAGAGACCAACATTAAATGAAGAAGCAGGATGTACTGACATCAAAACATGTTTATCATTGTTCTTTTTAAAAAAAAAAGACCATCTCAGCGTTTTGATTATTTTAATGAATAAGAGTTTATTATTCTGATTATTGCAGGATAAAATATAAAACAAAAAGATAATGCAAAACAATAAAAAGAGACTTGTCTGTGTTTCTGGCAGTGATCAGAAATGACTCTGTTGCAGTGAAGATTGTTAGGAAAACTTCTAAAAGCAGAATGTCGTAGTTACACGTAGGTTTGTTTTGTGTTCAGAGTGTTGTGCTGTTTCTTACTTGATCTGCCGGGCTGTTTGGAGACAGGCAGGGAGACCTCGGTGAGGGGCAGGATGTAAACCTCGGGGCCATTCTGGGACGACGGAGAGGCCAGGGCGGAGAGGTCTGCCTGGTACTCCTCTCCCTCAGTGTTTTCAAATTCCTGACACACAGACACATGCTGGGATTAGTTATCCACACAACCATAGTGGGAGACAATGATTCAACTGTGAAGACATCCAAACGCACTGAGGCACATTCACCTCCATATACACCCATAAGCCATGTAGAATGTGGGGTACATTGAGATGGTCGCTGCTGAGACACACTAACGCAAACAGCTATTCAAGCTGCATACACAAAGCCTCTCTTTCATTCTGTCCACTCCATCTTCCTCGTATGCATCATCTTAAACAATAGAACTCCTCATAAATGTCTTTCTGCTCATCTGCAATGTAAAAACCTACCTTAGATTACATTTTAACATGTGCATTTTGCTCTTAAAGTAAGTGCAACTATCTATTTTGAATTAAATGATATGTGAATTGAAACACTGTGGCACATACCTATTAAACCTGGGCTTTAACACCAGAAAAGTTTCCTATTTCTTCCCCATTATGAACCTACAAGATCTTAAACTGCACTTATATTGACTACGGAGCATTCCGTAGGGAATAAGTAGCCTTTGGGGTTAACTGTCTACTATACTTAGAATAAAAAAGATGGTCTATTATTAGCTTTACAGAAGAAGAAAAAAACTGCTGGTTCTTTAACTGCAGATCTTTAACTCCATCACAGCTGCACTGTTATTAAGTTGAGGAGGATACAGAGAAGAAACTGTGGCTCTCTCTGGCTCAATATCTCAAATTTTCCTTTCTGTTCTGTGTGATTTCTTTCTGCTCCACAGTCCACTGCAGTGCCCTTGTTCTCTAAATGCTGTAAAGCATTCCATCCTGTACCGCCTCAGCACAATCCTAAATCAAACAATAGCCTCCTTTAAGCTAAGTCAGCTTTATTGTGTCACACTGCACATAGGGAAGGAGGCAGTTGACATACTTAGCTGATAAAAATGGGGCGGGGAGTGATGGATGGTGGTTGTATATATATATATATATATATATATATATATATATATATATATATATAAAGGGATGTGTGATATGGCATACAATTCATATCACGATATGTATTGTGAAGGGTGGCAATAACGATATATATTGCAATATGTTTTTGCTATAAAACTTGCAATAGGAATGAAAAAAAGCATAAGGTGTCCTTTTGCCATAATTTATTTTGAAAACTGCTATACCACAAAATAATTTCAATTAAAAAAATTCCACCACTAGGTCCAGAGAGTTTTTAAATAAAAAAACAAATCAAGTATTAGGCTTCTTTCTTGTAGTGCAAAACTGTGCAAAAGATAGAAAATGTAATTTTAGCCATATGTTTTAAACAAAATAACATGTTGTTAATTCTTAACGGTTTCCAGTCTCACTTAAGAAATGAACAGCAAGAGAGCAGCATTTTACACTGAAACATTTCACTCTTCAACCCTCTAGTGGATGTCTCTTTTCGCTTTAAGGAGAGCTGACACAAAATGGTGACCAGTTTCCTCTGTGGCTTTGACCAGAGGGTCTCACAATAAAATCACACAACACAGCGTTCTTTTACAGATCAGAGAGTCAGAGTCAGAGTCAGAGTCAGAGTTTCTTTATTGTCATTCGCACCTCATGTGGTACATGTGGTGGAGCGAAATTATGTACACAGGGTCCCAGTTACATCCAACAATAAAATGTATAAGAAAAACAGTAATAACATCTAAGATATGAACTAAGAAAAACATCAACTAAATATACACTAAGCACTCATAACATAAAACATTGAACATCACCACAAACATGAACATGAGTCTGTGAGCAGATGTGCACGCATGAACACATCAACATTGAAACAGATCAGCAGCAACATGAAACAGATCAGCAGCAACATGATATGGTTTTTCACAGTGATTATTCTAGTTAGAGATTCATGAGTCTAACAGCCTCAGGGTAGAAGCTGTTCCTCAGTCTAGTGGTTCTACACTTAATGCTCCTTAACCTCCTTCCTGAGGGGAGTGGGGCAAAAAGTGTGTGTGCTGGGTGGGTGGGGTCCTTCATGATGCAGGTGGCCCTCTTCCTGCATCTGGAGGTGTAGATGTCTGTGATGGTGGGGAGACTGACTCCAACAGATTTCTGTGCAGCCTTCACCACTCTCTGCAAAGCTTTTCTTTCTGCAGCTGTGCAGCCTCCATGCCACACATTGATGCTCGAGCAGGTTTTTTTAAAGCTGACCAACGCTTACTTTAACTTTTGACGGAAAAAACAAACTTTCGATGGAACACAGCGTTTCGCACATGCGTCCGAATAAGGCAACACTACAGCAAGCCAGCCGTAGTTAGCTTGTAGCTTCGCTACTTAGCTCTAGAAGAAACTACTTTACCACCGCATACGCACAGTTTTCAACAAAAAAAGAAAGTAATAATTAAATCTGACAATTCTAATTTTACACTTTAACACCACTTACACACAGTTTTCAATTTAAAAAAAGTAACAATTAAATCTGACAACTCTGATTTTACATCAAACACAACATTACTGCGGCTAGCGGGTAGAAGACAGATCTCTATCGTAGGCTAAATGTCTATCATTTCTACCATGTACCGTATATATCGCACATTCCTAATATATATATATATATACCGTATTTTCCTGTGTATAAGTCGCTCCAGAGTATAAATCGCATCAGCCAAAAACAGCATCATGAAGAGGAAAAATACATATGTATGTCGCTTCGGAGTGTATGTCGCGTTCATTATGTGTCACCGCTGACCCCAGAAAACATGGGCCAATGTCAAAATCGATTGGCTGCCAAAACTCGATTAGCGGCAGTGGGAGTGTGCACGGGAGGACTCACTGTTGCAGTTCTTCGAAATTTAACAAGATTAACACTTATAAACAATCATTTGTTTGCTTGTCATTATATCAGAGGTGTGTCTCAGTTTAACTTTTTCCTTAATAAATGCACTTTAATGGTCAATGTTTGGCTGGAGTAGCAGTACAGGAACAACATATACACCTACTGGTAGTTGTCAAAAGCCTAGAGGGCCTTCTTGCACCTCTAGTGGCTGCAAATGGTAATGTTTACTCTGGTTCATTTCAGTATGAATGAATATTTAAAGCGCCAGTAAAAATATGCGTCATGAATATGGAAAAAAAAAAGCATATATAAATCACTTCAGTGTATAAGTCGCATCTATGGCAAATCTATCCAAAAAATTGTGACTTATACACCAGAAAATACAGTATATAAAATCTCAATACATTGCAGTGGCCTTTGTTGTCTCATTATGTCATTAATAATTTAAAGGTAATTTGATGAACACTTGATTCTAAAATAGCTTAATGCTACTCAAGGATTGAAACGAACAAGCTTTAGATTTTTGTTTTCAGCTTTTTTCACACCATTTTAACCTCTCCAGGTTCTGCAAAGTGCTTTAAAATGTTTCTCATTCACACCCAAGCTCGTGCAATGCTTTCTGTTTTATGTTGCACTTTTAACACGTTCTACGTCCTCCTTCACACACTGACAAGCAAACCAGGGGCAGTGTTCAGCGTCTCGCCAAGGAACACTGACACGCTGCATGTGTCGGAGATCAAATCCCCCAATCAGAAGGCAACCGCTCTCCCAGTGGGCCAAAGCCAACTGACAATAATATTAGTCGGTTTTATTAAAGTTTTGTATGGTAGATAAACAATAATAATGATAATTTTGAATTATTTGCACATTTTTATCTTGGCCTGACAAGCTTTCAGTTTCCACAACAAATATATTTTCTTTGCAGAAAATTGTACTTAAATGTCATTATTTGCTTCTTTTTTTTTCATCTTGATGTGAGAAATGATTTAAACATAATTAATTTTCTTATAAAGTCACAATGAATATAAGGATCCATATACACTACTTTACATAACAACCTTAGGAGAGGTTGGTTTTTTTTTCTTCCCATACTGTCATTGTCTCTAATCAGGTCTCTCGTAAATGAGACCCCAAGGCTCAAAGGGATTAACCTGTATTAATAAAGGTTGAATGAATTGTATTCACTCTGGTTTTGCAGTATGTGATTTGTCTTTTTGTGTCTTTACTTGATGCACCAACATATATTATAGAAAAGTCAAAAAAATGTAATTTCTGAACTTCAAATCTACCGTATTTTCCGCCGTACACATCACACTGCCCTATAAATCGCATCAGTCCAAATATGTCTAAAAAAGTGGAAAAATCCATAAATATGTTGCTTCGTCGTATAAGTTGCATCGATTATGCATCACTGCTGACGCGTCGCGTTTGTTACGCGTTACCACTGACACCCCGGAAATGTGGGCCGAACTTGGAAATGTGGGCCGGTGTTGTAACAAAAACCGATGGGCTGACAAATGGCGGCCACGGAAGCGTGCACAGGAAGAATTTAACAAGAATTTAACAAGATTAACAATTAAAAACAATTGTTTGTTTGCTCAACATTATAACAAAGGTGTGTCTCAGTCTAACGTTTGCTTAATAAAAGGACTTTAACAGTCAAATCAGCTGTATTTGCTGCTTTGGTGCTCCGGGATCGCACAGAGGGAGGAAAAAAATAAGGAGGAACTCTACTTGTTTCTTCGAAATTTAACAAGAAAATCACCTAAAACAATTATTTTTTTGCTCGAAATTATAGCAAACGTGTGTCTCAATTGAACTTTTTCTTAAAAAAATACACTTTAATGGTCAAATTAGCTGCATTTTGCCAGGGCAATGCAGATGGTTTGACTTGCTCCAAGCAGCGAGCAGAACGAAGGTGGGGGGACTATGGCAAGCCGATTGTGTCATTAATAGCTGGAAGATTCTCAGTCATCCAGGGCATGGTAAATTCAAAACAGTTCAAGATAAGAACAATCAAGTATAAAGTAATGTATAATAAAGTACAGTTGTTTTTGTCTTGAACATTTTTGAATTTGTCATTGTAGCCATGTTTACTTGTTACATGATACAACGGCATGCCTTACTGCTACTACTACTCTGCTGCCATCTAGTGGCTAAAAAATGGTACTGTTCAATTTTTTTTCCCGTCAGAATGAATGAAAACCTTTTTATCTCAGTCAAAATTGGTTTATAAATATGGGGAAAAAAATCCATAACGTTGCTTCAGCAGGGCATGCAAATTATTTTATATATTTTTTATAGGGTAAAAAAACGGTAGTCTTCCTTCTAGAGCTGTTTACTTAGACTGAAATTATTAAGAACTACTTTGAATTATTAAAATGTTGTATTTTATTCTTATAGAATTGTGTGGAAAAACTTGTAAAAAATCATTTAAAAGTTTGCAAATCCAAAACGTCTAAGCTGCATCACTGCATTACTATAGCCTTCCATTAATTTCAAATAACTTTTTGTTCTGCTTAATTACACATGAGCAATAGAAACTCACCCTGCAAAACTGAATTAATTAATAATTCTCTGCCATTAAAGATTGCAATGCTTCAACCCTAAATGTTTTATTTCTAATCATAGTGCATACATGCTTCTTTGTTCAGTACCATTACATATTAAAGCCTAGTACTTGCTGTGTATGTATCTGGTATGCACATGGTACTGTGTGTACTCAGTAAGTAAAGAGTGGTATTATGTGTTGCCTCTCTTAAATCTTATCCTTTTTGTTAGTTATAATTATATTGAGTCTTTAAATCAGAAGCACTCAAAGTTTTCCCAGAGGAACCCTGCACACCCTCCCTCAGTAATTCAAGCAGATCTTGTTAGTGGGCTCGTATAAGAGGTTATGTAGGAAAACTAAGCTGTACTGCTGTGTTCATGAGCACAGAGCTATTCGTCTTTTGTGCAGCTAATGAACTGCTGCTCATAACAAACCTGCCTCCTGCTTGGAGCAGCATCAGATGTGAAGCGAAAAAGAAGAAGCAAAAGAGAAAACTGGTTAAAAGCCAAAGAGTTAACTGCTGGTCGGATTACACCTCGCTGTGTGGTTAAATATGTGTTCTGAGACAATAATGTGTGTCCATTGGAATGTGTGTAGGTGGGTTTTTCATTCAGGAGGACCATCTGCCACTCTCCTCTGAGTGAAGTGTGAAAGCGAGCACCTGGCTGTGAGTCAGCGTTGCACGGTTCCCAGGAGAGCCTTCAGTTTAAAAAGCACTTAATACCCAGCCACACACTACACGCTCCAGTAAGATCACAGCAATGGAGAGGAATAATGAAGCTTTCATGACAGTGCAGCAGTGCAATTTTGCCTTTCCCCACAAGAATGCACACCGTTCAAGCGAGCAGCTGAGTGATAGGCTGTTGCCACGGAAAGATTAAAAGTTGGAGCCAGTTACGCGTTCGGTAACACTTGCTGCTGATTTAACGTCCTTTACATTTCAAATTGTAGTAGAATGCATTACAGTCTTGTAAGTTGCTATTTTTTTTCTCTTTCCATTTAAAGTGAGCATAGCAAGTGAGCTAAAAACAAATGACCTGCATGACGTAGGTTAAATCTGACTCAGCTCAGCTCAGGTGTCCTTGAGCAGAGTCATTCCCAGCTAGAAGCTGTTTGGTGGCTGCACTTTCACCTTGAACTTTCTGCTGGACTCAAGCTGAAAGACAATACTTCTGCAGGAATCAATAATGGCATGTCAACCAGGAAAATAGCTGATCAAGATGAAGTGAATCAGATCTTTGTTTCTTTGTAACTGTATATTACAGGTAAGTGGTAAAAAAATAAACCTGATCTTTAAGTTCATTCATTCGACCCTTATTTATGCAGGTTTGTCTCATTGAGTCACGAGGACTCATTTTCAAGAGGGACCTGTTTAAGACAAAAAAAAAAAAAAACGCAGACAAGGTACACACAACAATAAACAGTCATAAAAAAGCATATAAAATGAAAAGTAAATAAAGGTAGTGCTATAAAACAAAATGAAAACAAGCTAAATTATAAAACGAGCTAAAATACTAAAAACAGGAACATGTCAGCGTTGATTTTTGCATTGAACTTAACCATTGTTTAAATCCCTTAGAGAGGTCAAGCTCGACAGCTTTAGCTCTTTTTGCAAGTTGTTCCAGGTCACAAGTGCTAACTGAATGATGTCGAATGCAGACTGTAAAAGCTGGAAAACCTTAGCAACTGATTTAGCTCGACAATAAACAACTGTGTCGTCGGCATAGCAATTTAAGGATGCATCAGGAATGATCAGACCTACATCACTTATGTAGATTGTAAAGAGGGTGGGTCCTAAAACTGAGCCTTGTGGTACAGCATTGTTGACAGTTAAATAACTGGAAGTACCATTATGTTGAACACATTCAAGTTACACACAACACAAGTTACATCTCTGTGGCATTCATAGAGCATTCTGCTGCAGCATTTTTACCATCTACTCAAACCAACAAACAACAAAACATGCAGAGTGTAATCTGCTGTGCAATGACTGGTTGAGGCCAGCAGCTTGAGTTTCTGCTCTGCCTCCCTCCCTGCACACCCCCTGCCTGTGTCAATCACTGTTAACCCTAATCAGCCAGATGTTTGACACAGCTTGACTGAGTCACCCCAGCAGGCAACATTAACAGAGACAAGGTGTGTCAGCTTGTGATGGGGGGAGGTGCTTTCGAACATAATTTGCACAGAGAGACGAAATGGATGCTTAACAAGATTTAAGCCTACCATGTAGAAGAAAGAGCTCTGCAGATTATTAATGTTAAAAATACAGTGTTTATTTTCATTCAGACATTTATTTGAAAAGGGCCTTCTGTATAACTGAACACTGTTTGTTTATTGGGGGGGGGGGGGGGGTGTTTTGTTGCTATATCTTACTGTGTGCAGCAAAAGTGCAAACTGTGAAAACGAGGAACTGGAGGAGACACTAGTACTTGCTCATAACTTTTATTTTTATCCAAGTTCTGAAAATGCTGTTCCAGCATTCCAAAAAGTAAACGACACGTTAGCCGATTATTAATATTAGTTAAATGAAAGTTTAGACAGGTTGACTGTACATAACAAATATTTTAAGGTCTAGTGCTCCTTAAAGGAATGCATAGCACTCCCTGCTTCTCTTTTGAGAAAATTTAAGGATTTTAAGTGCGCCTTATAGTCCGAAAACACGGTGTGTGTTGAGGATTACTCTCAGATACTACCACCTCAAATTTTAGGTTGACATCTATAAAACTGAATGATAGCTGGTTTTGTCTTGGCAAAAGTTTAGCTGTGGTGGCCATCTTGTACTGGATTGATCCAAAAGTTAATCAGTTATAGATGTACATCCAGCTATTACTTTCTAAGAACACGTTTTAAACCAACATTTAATAAAACGTGTTTATTTTATCTTTTTTACGCCAGCATATCAAGACCCTTCTTTTCTGTCACATATACATTTTTTGGCTTCCCAGCACTTCCAGCTGAGGGCAGCAGGGAGCTCACCTTGAAGCCCATGTCTCCCTTCTTGCAGCAGAGGCAGGCCAGCATGAGGAAGACGAAGGTGAAGAGGCCGGAGAAGGAGACGGCTACAACCGCTAGAGAGGAAGGCCAGGACAGCTCGCTCAGCCGAGCCTCGTCTGCAACAACAGAGAGCAGAGCAAGTGTTAAAAGGGTTGAGCCAGGAGGAGATCAGACAGACTGGAAACAGAGGGACCAAACAGGAAATTAGAACCCAGATATAGATAAAGTTGATTTGTATGAATGAAGATATGGCAGCTTGATTAAAAAAATGAATCATATCAACATTCTTTCCAGTTTTTTTCCCCCAGAGAGAGAATAAGTAGCAGACTTGTGTAGCTTAAGACATCGCTGCAAAAAAACAAGTTTGCAATCTCCCACAAATACAAATGCTGTTTATTAAAATAGAAGCTGCACGTCCTTATTCTATTACAGTGTAAACTGTTGTGATGAATACAAATTTGTGCTGTGATTCCATAATCCGCTCTTCTTTTTCAGCGTCACCCTGCAAACAGCGTTACACGACCCAAATCTAAAGGAGCTGTTTTCCTCAGCAGTGCACACAGTGCTGTTAAAGCACAGCTGTGTTTGAATGAGCTCCACTGCAAAAAAAAAAAAAAAAAGAGTCCATCTCTTTTGTGCATCTGTCATCAACTCGCTGTATGCAAACACAAACTGACACAAATGAGCACTGCGTGTGTCAGCCTGCAATAAAATGAAACATCATTTTCGTTTTGAAACTTTCTGCAAGCTCAGATAAAAGAGAAGAGCCGAAATGATTATTGAAGGGAGGAGACCCCACTATACTGAACAATTATCAACCAATCTCCAAACTGTATTTTAGCTAAGGTTTTAGAAAAACTGATAAATACGCAAGTCAAAAGGTATTTGGACTCTTTTAATATTTTATCTTCTTTCCAATCTGGCTTCAGGAAAAAAAAAACACAGCACATTGACTGCTTCACTAAAGGTTTATAATGACAAAGCTTTGGACGCTAAGGATTACTGTGCTACTTAGACCTGTCCAAAGCCTTTGATACTGTAGATCATGACATCTTATGCTACAAGCTCTCAGATATTGGCTTCTCCGATCACACTGTTGGCTGGTTCTCAAACTATCGCTAAGGCTGGAAGCAATGTGTTCGACATAACGGTACTTCATCTAGCTACCTAACGGTCACCAACGGTGTGCCACAAGGCTCAGTTTTAGGTCCCACCCTTTTTATAATCTATATAAATAATGTAGGTCTAAACATTCCTGATGCATCCTTGCATCTCTATGCTGACGACACTGTTGTTTATTGCCGAGCTAACACAGTTGCCAATGTTTTCCAGCTTCTAATCTGAAGTTGGCATCAGTCAGTCAGACTTATTCCATTTCAAGCTGGTGCTAAATGCTGACAGAACCAAAGGGATGTTATTTTCCAACAGAAAGTTGGTGCCAGCAACTCTTCCTCCTATATCATCCATGCATTGAGTTTGTAGATTCTTACAAATACTTGGGAATTTTGGTCGTGCACATCTCTCTTTTAAACCACATATTGAAAACTTGATAAAGAAACTGAAATTAAAACTGAGTTTCTTTTTCAGATATATATCTTGCTTAACTCTGAATGCCAGAAAACGCCTTGTAACTGCTACCTTCCTGCCGGCCATTGACTATGGTGACATTATTTACATGAATGCCCCTGCCAGCTCCTTGCAGATGTTGGATGCTGTCTACCATGGCGCGCTAAGATCCATAACTGGTTGTAACTGTCATACCCATCACTGCTCTCTGTACTCATTGGTCAGTTGGTCATCACTGTCTACATGTAGGCTCTCACACTGGTTCATTTTCATCTATAAATCCCTCCTTGGTCTGCTACCTTCTTATATCTCCTCCCACATGTCACGTCGTCAGTGCAGTTACAACATGCACTCTCAGTCCATCATTACCTGCAGTGCTTCCTCAGTGCAGAATGAACTTGGCAAAAAGGCCTTTTTCTACTCAGCTCCTGCAACCTGGAACATCTTGCAACAGGAACTGAAGTTGTCCTCCTTGATTTCTTTAAGGGGTTTCAAACATTTGATAATGTCAATAGAAAAATATAAGCAAATATGTCCTTGTTTTTAGTATTTCACCCCATTTTACCACACCCTGATTTATTGTTTTGTACACTACTCTTATTTTAACTGCATTTTGACTGTAGTTTATTGTTGTCATTGTCTACTGTTCTGTTGTCTGTACTTTATATATTCTGTCTGGAACAGGTCTTTCTTGTAAATGAGTCCACTCGGCTCAATGAGGCTAGACTGTATAAATAAAGGTTGAATGAAAAAAATGAATGAAAAGAAACAGGTAGGGAATATTTTAGCAGATTTTCTGACAAGAATCTTGCAGTTTATGCATGGGGGTTTTTTTTGCGAACTTTTTTACATAAATTACATCAGCTAATATAAACGCACACAGCTTACCACCATTTGCCATGTTAAATTAAATGATCTGATTACTGTTGAGCAAACAGATTGTTGGCTTTTTTGTTTATTCATCTTTTCCACACAACAGGATTACCTTCCAAACCCACCAGGATATTCACGTTTTCCCAACAAACAAGGGGCAAACTTCACTAACATAGATTTATAGTGTGTAGAGATACAATCACACATACTCAAACATTTTATGGTGTGTAAAATAGTGACTTTTTAAATATTGTTCAATCGTGAGGTTAAGGGTCGAGTCATTTTAGTGGTTTTTTTTTACACTTTATTTGTATGAGAGACAGTAAAAATGGCTCTTCGAATTGTAAAAGTTTGTAGACCCCTGCTACAGATCAAAAAATATCTTCATCTTAAAGTGAGCAAGTCACAACCACACACACACACACACACACACACACACACACACACACACACAGACACACAGACATATGAGGGTTGTGAGTGGGCTGTTTCCAGCTCAGTGGCTAAGACCCCTGTGTTCCTGACCCATTTGGCTACAGGGAACACACTGTTCCAGGCCTGACAGCTCCCACAGTCCAAACAGCACAGCTCCAACCCGATCCTGACCCCGAGGTCGAGCCACGAAGCCTGATCGACTCGGATCCACATGGCCGACTGCTAAAACAGACGAGCGCAGGTTCCTCTTTGAAACGCTGGTTTTCAAAATATTAATATGTGGGCGCTGACCAGCCAACAGATCACCATGGTAACATCCAGATGGCCACCACATATTAGCTGATTGGCCTTTGCAGTATGATAAACCTCATGTCAGTTCTGTTGAAGGCTCGCAAGCTGGCTCCGTTTCATCCATCTCACTGTGCTCTCTGTGACAGATTGTCTGAGTTTGTGTTTTTCTGTATGAGGAGTGTTTAAAAAAGGTATGAACAAAGCTAAATCAAAGTACCGTACCTGCCGCCGTACACGTCGCTCCACTGTATAAGTCGCATCAGTCCAATTATGTCTAATAAAGTGGGAAAAAAAACATAAATATGTCGCTTCGCCGTATAAGTCACATCTATTACGCGTCACCGCTGACCACCCAGAAACCCGTGTCGTGTTGTGCCAAAAATCGATTGGCTGCCAATTGACGGTCGCGGGAGCATGCACGGGAGGACTTTAACAAGTATTTAACAAGATTAACACTTAAAAACAATTATTTGTTTGCTTGACATTATAGCAATAGTGTGTCAGTTGAACTTTTCCTTAATAAACGTACTTTAATGGTCAAGTCAGCTGTATTTCTACTGGGTGGCACGACAAAATGCAGCTGATTTGCCGTTTGCTCCAGGAGTTCCGGAGCAAAATGAAGGTGTCTTGGTATGGCAAGCCAAGTGTCTCATTAATTGCCACTTTTGCATATTAATGAGACACTTGGCTTGCCATATTAGTCAAGGGCCCTCTAGTGGCTGAAAATGGTAGTGTTCATTATTTTTCATGTCAGAATAAAAAAAATCATCAGATCTCAGCCAAAAATTGGTTATAAATATGGGGGGAAAAAACATAAGGCACTTTTCCATATAAGTTGCAGGGCATGCTAATTTATGCAAAAAGGTGTGACTTATACAGCAAAAAGTACGGTAGTGCATCTTTGTGTGACCATAATAAACAGGCTACGTGTGTGACAAGCTATGACATTTAAACGAATTAAAGGCCCAAAAAATTAAAGAATTTATTTCACCCGCTGCAGTACATATAGAGTTTAAGACTAAGATCGTCTCATGTTGAGAAATGTAGCCCTTTAGGTCAAACCCTGATAATAACACTGACTACAGAATTCAGCTCAGTATTGGATACACTGACTGAGTTATTGCATCATGTGTGCTGTATAAATTTAATTAGCTGTGGCAGCCAACTTGAATTAGGTTGACTCCAAATATTATTGAGTTTGACCGTATGGCAGTTTTTACCCTCTGACAGTTTCAGACAGTGTTGACTCGAACAGTTAATGCAAAAGTTTTAGTATTTAACGTTCTGAGTCTATTTTATTTGTGATTTCAGCTTTGCCAATGTTTCCCTCCTCATATAGTCAACTCCTGCTCCTCCCACTCTCACCTGATCCTCATTGTCTCTCCCCAGATGTTTTATCAACAGTGTCCCTTTAAATAATGTCTCATTTTGTTTATTCCTCGTCAGTGGATTGTGCTTCCTACAGCACTCTTCGGGTCCTTCGTGTCTTCCCTGATCCAATTATTTTCATATGAGCTCTGCTACCACATTAGCTTTTTGTTTTTTGTTAAATAAATCTATTTTCTTATTTTACCTCCGAGTTCTGTGTCTGTCTACATCCTGGGTTCAAACTTCCACAAAACATAGTTGTCCAATGTGTAGTGCTTGGAGAAGGACTTTAAGGTATTGTCACTCCAAATATTTAGCTGTAAACCTGTAAAACAGACGAGTTGCAGCCATTTTTGTGTTTAAGGTACATTAGCTGGGGTGACCATTTTAAATTTGGACTGCACCAAAAGTTATTCATTTATTTTCTGTGATCTGAGAAATTCATTCAAATGAATCGAATGAGCATTGAGACATTCCGCTAACAGACACAGTGCTGTTAAAGTTCTAGGCAAAATTATGACACAGTGCTCAGAGTCTGTGATGCATCTCAACTAAGACCATATTTGAGCTTCAGATCTGTGAA